GCCCCTTACCCTAATAAATAATTTTAAAAAAATAACTTCTACATTTGTATTTCGCTGCAAATTCCAAGAAGGCTTTATTGCTGTAACTGAAGACGATACAGGCACGACTATCACAATAAAAATTTTATAAACACTTTCAATTCGAATAATTTAATACATATACCTTGATAAGGTATAAATAGGCTAGATAGACTACTCGAAATTATTGTTCTTCTGAGATTGAAATCTCATTCCTCTATTTTGTAGTGTACACATTTTAGAACTAATCAAAGATTCTAAAATACTAAATATTAAAAAAATATTTTAATAATTCCAGTTAATTTTCATTTCGATTAATTGGAATTATTAAAATGTTTTTGTTTTGAAATAACTTTTCATGGTAAGAATATTTCTCATTATAAAATCTAATTTGTTTAAAAGATTTTCAACCATATGTCAAAGATGATTAAGAAATATTGTTGGGAATATAAGTGCAATAATTTTCATCGTGTGTCATTATATAGCTTGCATCTCAAATATCAAAGAGCTTTTTTTTAAAAAGAACCACTTCTAGAATTTAATTTTTACTATGCTCTGTCTGAATCTAAATTTACTTCTCGCAATTTTTAAACTCAGGAATGAAATATTCACGGCTAATATTGAATAACGTTTAGAAAAGTGTGAATAGATTTGTCGTTTCTAACTTTGATGATTTAAAGATTTTTCAAAGTTCATAAAAGAAAAAAGTGTATCAGAAGCACAAAATATTTTATTGAAAAAAAGTTTCAATTTAAAGAAAAACTGTACTGTCTAAATCTGAATTAGTGAAAATTTTTGTTTTTACTTATTCCTCTCAAATTCAGTTATAGATATTTCTAAAAATACATGTAGATGTCTATTCAGGAGTTAATGTCTCATCATTTGAATTTTAAATGAAATTCTTTCTTACGCTATAAATGTAGAAAAATTTTGTTCACGTTTCTTGTGAGTGCGATGAGTATTACAGAGACCAATCTCCATCGAGACGCACATCAAAATCCGCACACGCGCTTACATAAGTGTGAATAAAAATCGAATGAGGACGAGAGCGCAGAGAAACGAGGTGAAAAAATGTACTGTTCTTGTCTCATTATAACAGATAACCTCAATGCAAGGCCACATGCATTATCAATCGTATCAAATAAATTTCTCGATATAGTATTTAAACTTATTTCGATTTTCTTCCGATAATAACAATAATAATGTCTGAAAAAATTTCACTTTACTTTACTTTCTATTCTCTTCTTCAAAAAATTCATCTTTTTGGAAATTCATTTCAAGAAGAATCCAAATTCTCCAAATTTACAACTTTTCTTAAAACTTTCCTCAAAGTTTTGAATTACAACTCCGAACTTATTGCAAGAAGAAATTTTCGATTTTTATATAAAAGATAATTTTTAATCGCAAAAAAATATAAAAGATCCAAATTTTCAGGGTGTCAAAGTCTTTGTCAGCTGTTCCATAGAAGCTTCAATGGAAAAGTTCAATCGTCTTTGTCGGTTTAAATTTTAAATTTAAAAAATTTTTAAAAAAGAAAAACTGGTTTCATAAAAAATACAATTGAAAGAAGAAAAATATTTGCTGTAAAGCAAAAATACCATCTTTAAAAAATAATTTCTACAGGTTACAAAGAGAAGATTTCAATTTTCAAAGAAATGTGATATTAAAAAAAGACGAATTGCAAGTTTTGAGGTAATACAATCGTTTCTTCTTTTTTTCAATAAAGTGACTGAGGTCAGGATGTTTAAAAATTTGCAAACTAAGAGTTAACGGTAAACGTACGTCTGAAAATAGATAGCCAGATCGTGTTATGTGTTAAAAATAAAACAGCTGGAAGACTGAGTGAATCTTTTTACGTATAGCGGACAATGTCAGCTTAAACTATTTCTAGATTTTCATAATCACTTGAAACAACCAGACTTGAAAATAACTATTTACTCCTCCAACAAAATTCGTATTTTTCCTTTTTTTTCTCCAAAATTGTTAGCATAGGATAAAAGCATCAGTTTTTGGCCACTAGTTAATATTTATTCTAATTATTTATTAAGTTTAATTAAGTATTTTGTTTAACGAAATACTTAAAATCCTTTAGTATCTACTATATTATTATAATGAGAAATATTAATATAATAAATAATTAAATAAAAATTTTATAAAAAAATGACCAAAACTGGAGCAGTGGCCAAAAGTGGTACATCTATACCCTAGAAAGTCAAAAAAAGATTTCTGTCATGAATGACCCAATTAGAAAAATAAACATTTTTAAAAAACATAATATGCTTAATGAACAGAATAAACGTCAGTTAAGTCCACAACATTTACGATCAGTTGATCGTAAAATACATATTGAAAGAAAAAGAATATTTTTTACTTGGGATACAAACGTTTTTTCTTAATTTCTAATTTTCTTTTTTTAATTTTGTTTTCCCTGATTTCCAGAGAGAATTTTGACATTTTTCCTGACCCTAAAGAATATTCTAATTATTATTATAAAGATTACCCAGTGATAAAATTATTATTTTATATAAAAATATTGTTACTTTAACTTCTTCGAAATTATTGTCATCATTTGAATTCAATTAATATTTTCTAAAATTTCTAACTACAATTTTTCTTTAAATTAATTATTAATTAAAAGGATTAAATGTACGAAAAATTTATAATTCCAAAGATTTAAATTTGAAACCTTTTCAAAAATCAATTATTTCTAAAAATTCATGCGCTTTAATGCTTTTATAAAATTATTATGCAAAATTTTAACCGAAATTCATTTTGAAATAAATTTTTATTAGAAAATTCTACGAGAATTCAATTATTTAAATACAAAACTAAATAATTTATTGAATATAGTTGAATGTTTCTTAGAATTGAATTTTTATGAAGAATTTTATTAACAACTTTTTTAAATAATTAATTTCTTTTAAGGAATTTAATTAAAATTTTACACAAATTTATTGAATTAAAGAATTTTATCGCAATTTTTGAAAATAATTGAAAACTTTTGCACAATTTTATTAAAATTTTTAAAAATTTCTAAAAATAATAATTGAATTCATGAGAAGAATTTAATCAATAATTTATGAAAATTATTGAATTCATGGGAAGAATTTTTATTAAATTTTATTTAAATAATTGAAATTTTGCCAAGAATTATATTAAAACTTTTGAAAATAATAGACTTCTTTGAGAAGAATTTAGGAACCTATTGAAAAAAGTAACTTAATTCAAGACGAGAATTTTTCAAAAATTATGATAATAATTTAATTTCCGCAAAGTATTTTATTACTTTTCAAAAGAATTTAATTCTCGCGATGAATTTTGTTATTTATCAAAATAATTGAATTTAAAAAAAAATTTTATTAAAATTACTTAAAATAATTGATTTTTTGGGAAGAATTTGGTTGTTTATCAAGATAATTGCGTTAAAACTTTTGAAATAATTGAACAATATTTAAAAATCCATTGTGGTCAGAAATAGAAAAAAATTTTGTCCAGTAAGCATAACAAAATAAGCATAACAAAAATTTTAATCATAACAAACATAAAGAGTATAATAAGCATAAGAAACATAATAAGCACAATAAAAATAGGAAGCATAATAAATGTAATAAACATAAAGAGCATAAAAAGCCTAATAAGTATAAAAACCTAATAAACATAAGAAACACATTAAACATAGTAAAAAATTATGAAGCATAATAAACATAAAAAGCATAATAAGTATATGAAACATAAGAAATACAATAAGCGTAACAAAAATATTAATCATAATGCACATAAAGAGCATAAGAAACATAATTATCATGAAAAACATACTTAAAATTACAATAAATTATTACTATTCGCATTAGATTTGCTATACATATTCTATAAATAATACGAGTTTCTATGAAACTATAAATCAACCAAGAGATGATTCAATTTTACTCTCAATTAAATTCCGATGTCGTGTAAAAACATGATATTATTTTTATCAAACTTGTCTATCTTTTGACTGCCTGTAAAGTTGTAACACGTATCTATGTGTATTCGATTTACTGATTTCAGAGTGTATTTCACAAATACTCATTTATAAGTCTATCGTGAGTCTAGACGTTCTAGTCATATAATAGATAATCGTTACGTAAGCCGAGGTTTTAATCTGAAGCAAATGTCCTTTTACGTGACACATGAAGCCGTGGATTTACAATTAATCTTTTACAATCCTCTCTACTTGAATTTCATTTCCACCTGCAAGTATATATGCACAAAAAAATCCATTCCGTTATTTCAACCATCACTTTTTTCATCTCATCCTCTTCATATTATATGAACGAAAAATCAAGAAACACCATTCTTCTATGTTATCAGTGGAATTTTTTTCTTTTAATTCAATAACAAAAAACTTTTTTTCTTTTAATTTTAATATCAAGAATTTTTAATTAAGAATAAAGATTAGTTTAAGTAAGGCACAAAAATAAGACTAGTTCTTTAAAGATCGCAAGGCTCTTTATTAACCTGAAAAATTGCAGTAAAGCAGAAAGCTTGCAGTGCAAATTTGCCGCAATATCTACAGTACCGGAAATTTATTAAACATTTACGAAAGCTTGAAGTGCAAGTTCAGAGTACATATAAAGTTGTTATGCTAAATGTGCATCAACGAAAAAATTCCATATCCCTAAAGTTAGTATCAGAAACTATTAGTAAACTTTAGATGCTGTGAAAAGTTTGCTCAAAACTTACAGGTTAACTGAATTAATAGCAGTTGACTAAAATTCTTTATCAAATGAAAGATATTCCTCTAAATTTCGATAGTAATTACAATAACTCCCACAGAATCTAAACTTGAAGCAAAATTGACAACATTCTTGCAAGTTTCATAATATTGAGAAGATATTGTCAATACTGCTGCAAGTTTAGATGCTGTGGTAGAACAATATCGCAGTTATCAATAATTAATTATCCTTAATGAGCATACAATTAACAATTAAAAATAATTTCAGGCGGACACTGGAAGGCGAGATCAGGAGGAACTATCGCCGGCCTCGACTTCGCCGTCGGGTCAGGACGAGACCAGTGGTGGGTCGGTACTGGCAATGGGCAGCACCGACTCGGCCGGAAATGCCCACGACGGTGGACCATCCTGCGGCTTGGTGAGCTCGCTATTCCCCAGCAGTTGTCGAGGCAGAGCGGAAGCATTCGCCAGGAGTCTCCATCGACGACTAACGTCCCTGGGTGGAGAGAATGGCAGCAATGACGATTTTGATTTAACCAAGCCAAACGAAACCTCCTGGCTACACTCAACAACCATTAAAAACGGAACAAATTCATCCAACAATGTGAAACTCGTCCTTGATCATCAACCACGTCTCAGTCCCGAATCGGATCTCTTCTACGATCTCGAAGGAGAACTCGAGGAAAATGGAATTGTTTCACCTGCGGAAGAAGCCTCTGCAGCGGAACTAGCACATCTACTCGTTAATCATCAATCGTTGAAAATTAACCGTCATGATAATTGTCATGCTACAAGACCAGCTGGTACAAGTCAAGATTCCGGATCCGATGGAGTTTATTCATCGCCAATGACTGGTAACAATACTCCCGAGAATGATGAATCTGAGATGTACTTTGATCCCCTATCGTCTGACGGCGATAAGAAGAAGGACACCTTTTTCGATCCTGTCAATTCCTCCGAGAATGAGGGATTATCAACTCTTTCTAATGGAAGCGAACCCGAGATGATTAGAGTTCTTCGTAGAAAATTAGAGAAAACTAAAAATCACGATACAGCAACTAATGAAGAAGAGACATCTGACTCTAGTTGTTCTTTGCAAAAGGATGAAATTGAAATCTCAAGATTACGAACAAATCCCGTTGAGAGTACCGACGAATCATCGAATGGAAGAAGTTCTATCGACACAACGTCACATGATTCCCTGTGGAGTACATTTGACGATAGTACTTTGTCTGAAAATTCTGTCAAAAATGATGCACTTTGTAATCAGAATCGAGTTCCTAAATCGCATTCCGATTCGGAAATTCCGGGTATGGTGGACGTTAGTGATGTACGGCTGGCAAGGAGGATAGAGGTTCTGGAAGAGAATGTAGACGAAGTGGACTTTGCTGGTAGTAGTTTACAAGTGGACCAGTCCTCGAAAGACGAACTCAATTCTTGCTTACAAAATGGACTCGAGAAGATAGATACGGAAAAGGAACATGAAGATAACGATGGCGATAAACCAATCGAGGAACCTAGTGGTCATACTGACCACTTGACTTACGACAGTACATTTAACACACCAGGTGAGATAAACAAGTTGAAAGATATAAAGTAATAACACTAGAGTATTAAGTAGCGAATTCAATTTGGGTGGTAGAGATATGACCAGAATAAGTCGAGAGGTTTTCCTAGACCTTCTTTTTCAAAAATAGAATCCACAGTTGACTTCTGCTAATGTGCCAATGTGCACGTACGCAGAAGCTACCGTGGCCTCTTAAATTTCAAAGAAAGTTTTTTGACTCATTCCCACTATTGCGGTTGGACATTCCTGACGTCGTTTCTGTACACGAAAAGACTGTTATACGGTAAAAGATTGTGTCAGAATGTGGTGACATTTAATGATCTTGCCAAAAAGCTCCACCTTCTTTTAGCAGAATACAATTAGGACACCTAACTAAAAATTAACCAAAAACCTCGACTATCTGAACAAATTTTCATAGATTTCAGTTTTAGTAGTAAAAAAACTAACTTCTTTTACATATTTAGCAATTTTTAAAACGCCTTTCTGGTGTATCATCTACATTATAGTTCAGATAACAAGTCCTACTGTAAAATTAGTCCTAACCCTAAATTTTTCTTTCAGATTCGTCGACACTAGAAAGCACCTGCGAAGCGAAAGTCGAGGAACCAAATCAACCCGAGAAAAACGAAGTACAACTGTTGATAAACGACGAATCAGCACTAAATTCGATAGATGAATCCGAAGTCCCGACGAGACTTGAAGGCACTACTGAAAGTGACATCCAAGAAGAGAGTTCGGATCTTCATTTGTCATCCGAGGACAATCCGGAAGAAGAAGAAGAGGAGCAAAGACCTCCAAGAGTTAGACGATGTTCATCACTGAAAACCGGCAAAACACCTCCCGGTACTCCAGGTAGAAAGAAAATAGTTCGATTTGCCGACGTTCTCGGACTCGATTTAGCAGACGTAAGAACCTTCCTCGACGAAATTCCAAAAGTTCCAAACTCTGCCTATTCCGATCTAATCTATGACGATGTCTTCCATAAAGAATCAAGTCCCATTAATTGCGGTATTCAAACCTGGAGTGCAAGATACTTAGACAACAGTCGAATGAATTTGACGTCAGTTCAAAAACTCGACACAACACTTGTACCGCTTTTCCAACAACCTGGAGGTCTTCCAAATTTCCTCGATTTCGTTCGTGATCGTCGTGTTTGCCTGGAGAATGTTCTTGTCAGTGATCCTACGACCTTATGCATCAAAGGAACAGTTCGTGTGTGTAATTTTGATTTCCACAAATCAGTTCATATCAGATACACCCAAAATTCATGGAAGACCTACAGTGATCTACAAGCAACGTACGCGCCTAATTCTTGTGATGGTTTCAGCGACAAATTCACCTTCACTCTCTACTGTCACACACTTCGAGTTGGTCAACGACTCGAATTTGCAGTTAGATTCCAGTGTAAAGGCAATCAATATTGGGATAATAATCTTGGTGCAAATTATTGCTTTCAGTGCCTACCATCATCCCCAGCTGTTGGATATATACCAATCACCGCGCCTGAAAACGCACACGATTGGACACCAATGTTCTATTGACTCAAGAACAAATTCTGGAAGTTGTCCAGAAAATCTGGTCATATAGATGCTTCGAGCTGCATGCGATCTTGCGGAAACGACTCAATTCTAGATCGTTTAGATGATACAAAGAAAATGCTGCCACTATTATATAGAAAGTTATTCATGTCTAATACTCTCAACAAATACCTAAGTCAATTGTTTATAGATTTGCAGAAGTTCATTGTTAAAAATCATCATTCAAAGTGTATGCATTATGAATACATCGGGAGTTGACTAGAAATAATATTCTGCAAGATCTTAATCAGTATCGGAGATCTTTGTCATCAATCGTAATTTAGTTTTCCTTCTATAATCTTGATAATCGAATTTTTACGAACCAAAAAGCAAAAGGATGACAAAATGTGATTTTCGGAGTATTCAATATGAACATTAAACGATGCAAACGAACATGAATGAAATTAAAATAAAGGAACTTGTCAATAATTAATTACATTGACATTGGCTTTGAAATAAAGTTGTCCTTCTCGTGTGGGTGCCAAATGCTAACCTTCGAAAGTAATTTTCGTCGAGTGAAGCGGAACTGATGAAATGCGATGTTTTTTGAGATGGATGTTATCCTATACACCTAAACGGTTATTGGCTGTCTGCCATTGGAAAAAAGAAGACATGTTTCCTAATATACCAGGGTGCTAAATTTAGCAAATGCTTATAACGACACTTTTCATACAATCAGCCTAAGTATAGTCAACGATAAACTAAAAAAACTTTAATCTAGTTAAACAAAATCATCCAAGTACTTGTTAATCTTATTAATTTCAACCATCAAACTCTCAATTTGATTTTTCGAAATTTACTCATTTGATTTTTAAGTTTACCATAAAATTCACACAAATAACACAAGAGAAAGCTTTAAATATTTTATGGATTCTTGAAAATCATTAAAAATCATTAAAATTTTGATGAGATTGAAAATATGTTCAACCGAAAAATATAGATTTAAACTTGTACCATAGAGATGATGCAAATAACGTCCAATAAAATATCCTCACAATAAAAAATTGCTCCATAAATGAATAGCATCGAAAAATGCAACGATATTTTCAAGAATGTTACAATATTCAATAAAAAAAATATATTATTCATATACAACACGTTAACATTAATATAACTCTTTTCAGTTACTTTTTCCAACCAAAAACATCTAAACAATAAAAAAAGACGTATTTTTAACTAAGCAAAGAAATGATTACAATTAAAAAATTGTTTCTCATGTTTTTGGCAAGAAAAAGTAACTCGAAATTAATTTTGTTGAAGATTGAAAAAAAAAGATCTAAGATATTTTTGCACGACTGGATTCGATGAAATATATTTTGACATCATAAATAATGCCTGAGGTCATTGACTTTCGATTGCTGTAGTTTTTATCAATGTTGACAAATGAAATTAATATATTATAAACAATAAATAATACAAAAATATCTAAACTCACGAAAATATCTAGTGTGAAAAAGATGCACACAAAGGAAAAAAAAGAAGAACTAACAAATAATTAAGCGCTAATATAATTTCTACTCTCGATGAAAGTACCTAAGAGAACTAATAAGTAATTACATTCATTGATTGTTTGAAATTAAATATATATTTAAATATAACATAAATATCAGTATCGATAAGAGATTATTTCGATGTTTTGAAAATTGAATAAAACATGTTTCGCACACTATTTTTCTCAAGCAGAAATGGTGCTAATTGTACAAAATTTTTATAAGTTAAGGATTAATTTTTTAAAGAGAGGCAATATTCCGAGATTTTATTAAGCTCAACTCATTATGATTAAATTATGAAAAATTATTTAATTAAAATTATTAATTACATAATTAATAAAACATTATAGTTATTAATTATTAATGTAATTAACTGTATAGTGCATTATAATTAATAATAATTTAATCAACTATACAGTGTAATTAATTAATGAACTATAATTAATTATATAATTATTATATAGTCTGTTATAATTAATAATATAACTGATTATAAAGAATATACAAATTCACATTAAAATTAATTACATAATGTACTATAATTTATTACATTATTAATTACACAGTGAACTGTAATTAATAACATATCTAATTAATTGTTTTGCGCATTATAATTGATAACACAACTAATTATAATTAATAATATAATTAATTATTTAATGTTTACAGTTAATATTATAATTAATTTTATACTTTATTATAATTATTAACGTAATTATTTTTATAATATATTAAAATAGTTTATTATTTATATATATATATATATGTTATAATTAGTAACGTAATTAATTATATATTATACTTTAATTAATGATATAATTAATTATATATTATATTATAATTGTACATTATAATTGATAAAGTAATTAATTAATTATAATATTTTACAAAAATTATATAATTATAATTAATCATGTAATTAATTACATAACATATGACAATTAATAATTAATTAGTATAAGTTATTAATTAGAAATGCATTATATGGGGGGACGTTTAAGTATTTATTTTGTTAATTACGTAAGTAAGGGAGGGGAAAAACGAGACACGATTTCTGGGGTCTCCCACCCTGCGGTTCTTTCTCAGGGGGTGGGGGCCGCTTCTCCGAGCAGACCTGAAACTTTTTTCTTTTTAATTAAAAAAAAGGTATGTCAAAGAGTAATTTTCTGTAAAATAGTAGGAGGGGGGAGTACGTTAAAAACCTTAAAAATAAGGCTAATTAATCCTTAAACGTTCCTTTAAATAATTAATTAAAAACGTCATTACGAAGTGTGTCGCATCTACGAGATTAAATATTCTTTGTCTGTAAAGATTGTTTCTCATATCTACGTTAATTTGTAAATTAAAAAAAAACTGGTGGTATTTTTTTATATGCCTTTCGTCTAGTCCATAGAATCGCGAAATTAAATTGCAGCAAAAATCGAGAATCCTCAGGAAGACTTTGAAATCCATATTATTGTAATTTTACATATGAATTTAAAATGATATACATATATAAAGTATAAATATTTAAAATTCTGTATTTAGTATGTAATTTTTATCCCAATGCACTGTCAAGACTAATTTTTGTATAAAAAAAATTTCTTTTCAAAATCAACTGCCTCAAGACTCGATTTTTTCTTTTTAATTTCTTTCGCGTTGTAAATTTTTATTAAGAAATAAATGTGAAAATTAGGCTGTGCAGATCGTTGAATTGCCGCTGGAGATTAAAGACGCTGATGAGTCGAAATAAAAATATACTTGTAGTTATTAGCTATAATTAATGAAAAAAAAACGATTGAAAAATAATTGTTTACTAAAAAAGCGTCGATGAACTTTTATCTCGGTAATTCGCTTCTGATTTTATTCTTTTTTTGTGTATAATGAATAAAATTTTACATTTAGAAAAATGTGGATTTTTTTTTAAAAAGCTCGTCGTTGAAGAAAATTGTTTTCATATTTGAAAAGAAAGGAGAGAAAATTTGCCTCAAATAAAAATGGCACAAAAGTTTGACTGAATTTGAGAAGGGAAAATCGAAATTTTGTTTTTCAATTTCATTTTCTCAAAGTGTTTATTGTATATAAATGCTCGAAATATTATGTTAATTATGAAAAATGTTTTTTAAAATATTTTTTCTAATGGAAATATTGAGATTTTTTTTCTTAATGACGAGCTAAGAGATCTTTTTTCAAGTATGTATATTGATTGTTGTAGTAGGACGTATATCGTTTGGTTAAGTTAGAATTATATTTTGTAATGGTTATACATATATATATATAAAAAACAGAAAATCACTTATATAGAATGTGTGTAAAAATGATTGAGTGCGAATTAATTAGTACCTGAAAAATTATCAATTCTATTATATTATATAAATGAAGAAACAAAAAATCAACGATGAAAAATCTATGTTTCTTATTTTTTTTTTATTTAAACACTAAAACCCTCCTCCACCCTTCTACCAAAAAAAGAGATAAAATCTTCTAATAATTTGTGATATAAATTTAATTTATCGATTCTCGAAACTATCAAAAATTTTATAATTGTAACATCACGCAGGCTAAGGAAAAACAAATTTAAATATCTTCTTCGATTTATTTACGTAATATAGGAAAAAATAGTACATTTTAAGAAATTAAATTTGTTTCTAATTATCTCGTGATCTTTCAATTTGTATAATATTTTTTGCAATAAGGAAATTTCTTTAAAGGTATTTAAAAAAATAAAAACAATTTGTGTATTTTTTTAATGGTGCTAAGGGAAATTTTTTTTTTTACAAAATACGTAAACCTCGTGTTTGATACTAATTTATAAATGTATTTTTTACATTGAGACCTAATTATTATTGTAAAAGTCCAAATATAGAAAGAGTGCCTGAATAATAATGAATATATTGAATGAATGTTTCATAAAGAACGATGACATTGTACATGAAAAAAAAGTCATTCATCTAGAAATATTACACACACAAAAAAGCACCTTCTATACATATACACGTATATATGTAATATGTTGTTTTAAATATTATTACGACAATAAATGGAAAAGTAAATTATATCTAATGTTGTTTTTTTTATTTTTTACACGCATGCATGAATATTCTCGATATATTATTCGACATAATAGTTTATTAAACATTAATTTCATTTGACATGAAATCTATTTGACATGAAATCCATTTGACAGGAAATTCATTTGACATGATAATTCATTTGACATTTTCATTGGACATAGAATTCATTTTATATAAATATCAATTAACATGAAATTTATTTAAGATAAAAAATTTATTTAAAAAATGTATCTAACATAATTATTTTATTTGATATAATATTTATTTAACATAAATTTCATTTGACATAAAATTCATGTAACATAATTCCCATTTGACATATAAAAAGCACTTGACACAAAATTTATCTGACATAAATGTCATTTGACATAAAATGGTTAAAATTTCGTTTGACATAAAATTTATTTAACACAAATTTCATGTTAGGGTAGAGCGGGGCTAGTTGAGCATAGGGGTAAGTTGAGCAACCGAAATATCTCAGGCTCTATAAATTGGCCGCTAATTTTTTCTTCTTCTTCTTCTTCTTCTTCTTCTTATTAACCGTTCATACGGTTACGTTGACAACGCACTTGCCTTAAGCATCGTGCATACTGCCATGATCATCACAGGTAAAGGGTAAGCTTAAGCTTTATACATAGGAAAGGTAATTTTAGGAGTACATGACAAATAAATGGTTAGATTAATTAATGTTGGGATTAATAATAATATTAGTAGATAAATGGTGATTCGGTAGATTCGAGAGAAGATTAGGAGAGGATCCTGCAACGTGTCGTCTATTCGAGACCGCAGTTCCAGGTTACTCAATCCACCCGGAAGGAAAGTCATCCAGACGAGAACGTTACAGGGACTCCTAATTCAATTAAGAGAAACAGAAAAGGGAGAAAGAGAAAGAGGAAAAAAAAAAAAAAAAAAAAAAGGGGGGGGGCTAATTTTTTCAATGCCAGAAAGAAGCAGGTACTTGCGCAGTAATGTCCCCTCTTGCACCTGCTTCTTTCTGACATTGAAAAAATTAGCGGCCAATTTATAGAGCCTGAGATATTTCGGTTGCTCAACTTACCCCTATGCTCAACTAGCCCCGCTCTACCCTACATAAAACTCAATTTTGACGAATTTCGTTTATCATAAATTCCATTTGACATTAAATTTATATTTAACATAAATTCCATTTGACATTAAATTTATATTTAACATAAATTTAATTTGATGATATAAACATCATTTAACATAAAAATTATTTAACATAATTCTCATTTGACGTAAAAAGATCATTTGACATAAAAATAATGAAACTGAAGTTACCAACGTTTATTGGACGAAAAAATTTTCTTTTGCTAATTGTTTATTTTAATATTAAAAGCCATTTAAAAACAATTATTGCAAAAGGATCCAAGTCAAACGAAATTTTTACCAAGTGAATTTTATGTCAAATGACATTTATGTCAGATAAATTTTGTGTCAAATGATTTTTATATGTAAAATGGGTATTATGTCAAATGAATTTAATGCCAAATAAATTTTATGCCAAATGAATCATATGTTAAATGAATCTTATGTCAAATTAAATTTATACCAAACAAAATTTATGTCAAATGAATTTTATGTTTTATTGTGCACAGGTAAGTCTCTACAATTATTATTATCGCCCCTTGTTTTCCTCAAAAATTAAACATAAATCTAAATACCCTTCCTATTTTTATACTCAGGTATTATAATCATAAATAAAATACAATCGAACCAAAGTAAAAAAAGTCACTTTTTCTTTTAGATTTCTGAAAAGAAAGATTCTCTATAAATGAGAAAAAAATTTGCACTTTCTCACTTATCCAGGTTCGACTGTAAAGAAACATTTAATACCTTGAATTTTACCACCTCTTATAATGGAAAAATCCTTCATAGTTCACATATATTTTCAAAAGAATTGAACTGTTGCATATTAATTAGACCTTTAAATAATTCGCTTCTTCCCACTCTCTATAAAAAATTTGTTTAAATTTGTATAAGAATTTGTAAGGACAGTGAAGAATCATTAGTAATAGTGAAAACATGTGAATGTGAATATTAAATTATTTTCAATTAACACTTTATTTAAAAAATTTTTGCTTCTTTTATTTTTTTTTTTGACACAAAAACTAAGTAAATAGACATCAATTAAAAATGACGGAAGTTCAACGTTTCTATGAAGGTCAAAATATCTTCATAACAGGTAAATTATTTTTAAAATATCTGTTAAAACTCCTCATAAAAATATTTAAGTACAAAAAAATATAAAATAAAAGTAAAACAAGAAGTTTTACGTTTTTATCCTTATTTAAATCCCTTTAAAAAGCTACATACAAGAAAAAAGATATATTTCACTCAGAGCCAACTAGAATTTTTATTTGTTTAAAATAAATTTTATTTGGTTTAAATAGTTTTGATTTATGCTAACAAAATTTTTATTTATTCCAAATAAATAACATAGTTGGCTGTGAGATAAATATATACATTTTATTTAACTCAAATAAAATATATATATTTGGTTTAAATAAAATGTTTCTTTGGGTGTTAGTGTCAACGATACAATAAAAAAAATAAATAATTTTTCTCATTGTCAGGTGGAACTGGATTTATAGGAAAAATTTTAATAGAAAAATTGCTTCGAAGTTTTCCACAAATTGGAAAAATTTATATATTAATTCGTCCAAAAAAGGGGAAAGATATAAAAACACGATTGGATGAATTTTTTTCAGTACAAGTAATATAAAAAATTAATTTCTTAATTAATTTCCGCCATTATGAATTTTTCTAATTTATTTTAACTCGGATTAAAAATTAATTACAATTTAATACCTAAATAAAAAATTTGCAAATTAAATTTGTATTAATGATTATAAAATTTTTGATATAGTTAAAATGAATTTTTTCTATTGAGTTAAAAATTGGAATTAAAATTCTTTTTTAAAATTTAATAAACCAGACGATATTTATTCTATGCCCAGAGAAAAATTTGTTTTGAACCAAACATAATTTGTTAAAAATAAATAAATTATTTATAAATAAAACATACCAAAACATCAAATTATTTTGTTTTGGTTAAAAATTTTATTAGGCACAAATAAAATTTTTCTTTGATATCAAGAAAATTAATTTGAAACAAATAAAAATATTGGTAATCTCTGAGTCAAGGATATTTTTTTCTGGATGTATAAATTTCTCTAAATCACCAAATTGTAAATTAATTTTTGAAAGAATTTAATTAAATTTAAATATTTTTAAACTTGATAAGTTGATATTAAAACAATTCCGCGGGGAATAGTTAAAAGTATAATTATTAATTTTATACGGAACGATGATAAATTTTTGGTCAAATTGACCTAGTGTGACAATGGTGTGGTAAAAAATGACTAATTACTTTAATTAAAAATTAATTCATTTTTAAGGTATTTGAAGTTTTGGAAAAAGAAAATCCAAATTTCAGAGAGAAAATAGTAGGAATCAGTGGAGATGGAACAAAACCTGGATTAGGAATGTCAGCTGAAGATTGTTTACTCCTTACAAATGAGGTACATGATTGATTAAATTATAGGAAAATTTACTTTCCTTATTTAAATTTAACAGACATTTTTAATACATATATTTTTTCGTTTACATGAAAAATTAATAAATATATATATACACTTCTCTCCATAAAAAACAAATAAAACCATGTATTGAAAAAATTTGATAAAATAATATTTTTCCACTAAAATTTTTTTCTTTTGATATTTTAATGTTAATGTTTTTAAATTTAATGTTTAATATTTTAATAAATAATGTAATCTAATATTTTAATGTTAGAAGCGCTTTAAAAAAAATTGCAAAAGGGTCCAAGTCCAGGAAAGCAGTAATTTCGATTTTTCTTCACAGATTTTCCAAAATTCCCGGAATTTCAACTAAATTATTGTTTCCTCGCCTTGGAAGTAATTTTTCTCTTGATAATTATTTATTCTAATATCAGAAATCATTTTAAAAAATTGCTAAAAGATCAAAGACAATTTCTTTTTTTTATTAGAAAAATTTATTTTAAAAACAATCAAATTTACTCTGAAAATAAGAATTTTTAATAGTTACTTGTAATGTTCAAGAAAAATTTGAATAATTTTGTTATTAAAAATCCTTATTTCCAGAGGAAAATTTGTAACATTCGTAGTAAATTTTATTGATTACAAGTTTTTCATTATTTTCAAAATTTTAACAATTCTTTAATTTTCTAAACCAATTTTTTATATTTTGAGCTTTAATTCACGAATGTTGAAATAATTTGAGCCACAAACAAAGTTTTTTCGACATGAGCAGCACTTAGAAGTTCAAGGTAAATTCAAATGAGACTGTTCTCAATATTCAGAAGTAATCTGAGGCATTTAAAAATTTAAACATTGTAGTAAAGAATAAGCATCAAATTGATTACTTGATTAGATTGTATAAATAAATTAGCATTTTTCTACATTTTTTCAGTTAAAAACTTGCAGTTTTATTAAACGTATGTAAGAAAAAATATTGTTTAAAAAAATAAACTTTATTGTTAAAGATCAAGAAAGGGCATTAGGCATATACACATTTTTTTTAGAGAAAGAAAAATATGAACTAATAAACCCACAAGTATAATTGAGTAATTATATAATCAATTTAATCGCACGTGGATTACTATGACCTGCAATAGCTGACGTAATTAATCGAATACATAATTCAGTTTAACGATAGGAAGAAATGATTTGCAAAATAAGTTGTTGTTTGACACGATTTATTTTGAATATTAAAAATTAAATTTTTTCAAAAACAAATACACTTATTTCATTTAAAAAAAATAACGTCAATAAATGTTTTTCTTTAAAACTATTTTTGATTTTAAAAGAGTGGAGAAATATATTACGAGAAGTTTAAATTTACACAACTTATTTATTTATATTAAATTATGAAAAATTGTGTTTTGTAAAAAAATATTAAAAAATAAAAATAAGCAATAATTAAAAAAAAATTTGAATGTTTAGGTGTCAATTATTTTTCATGCAGCAGCTACTGTTAAATTCAATGAAAGATTATCAATGGCTGTTGCCATTAACGTCAATGCAGTAAAAGAATTAATTATTCTTTGTAGAGCTTGCAAAAAGTTAAAGGTAAATATAAATAATATAATTATAGGCAATTACAATTATTTATTTATTTATTCAGTCAATATACAGACTTACAAAAATAAAAAAAAACCGTTCAGTACAAATAGTACTAAAAATTAAATCTTTAATATAATAAAATAGACAAATTGTAATTAAAATTAATTGGAATAAAAAGAATTGTAAATTCCACCCCAATATTAATTTTACAGTCAGCAGTTTACGTGTCCACAGCTTTTAGTAATTGTATTTATAAAAAAATTGAAGAAAAAATTTATCCATCTATAACTTACGAGGAAATTAATGCAGTAGTAAATATAATGAAAAGAAAAAATTTAACAGACGAAGAAGAAGAGAAAATGACAAAGAGGTTCTTAATTACTTTTTTAAAAAACTAATATTTTCATAATATCTTGTCAATTTCTAATGAAACGAATTCATTTTTAGCCTTCTAGGTAAATTTCCCAACACTTATGCTTTTACAAAAGCAATAGCTGAAAATTTAGTGAATGAAAATGCGAAGGACTTACCATTCTGCATATACAGATTTTCAATAGGTATATTGTTTCAATTTTTTTTATTTTTAACAGTAATAATTAAATAAATTGGATTAAAAAAATGAATAATAATGAATAATAAATTAAAATAAATTAATTAAATAATTAAAAAAATATATAAATTTTTGACATTGTAGCATTATCAACATATAAAGAACCATTTCCTGGATGGCTAGACAATAATCAAGGTCTAAATGTAGCTATGTCACAAATTGGCCGAGGTTTTATTCACGTCATTTATGCAGATCGCAATGCAAAATGTGATTTTGTACCCGCTGATTATGTTAGCAATGCATTAATTGCATCTGCTTGGGGAAATCATGCAATTCAAAGAGGGTAACTCAATTGTTTACTTTTCATTTATTTGTTACTGTAATTTTAATATCTCTTCAATATTTCTCCTATTTCAAAAGAAATTAAAAAATATTTATAGTAATAATAATAATAATAATAATTTGAAAATGTACTAACTACATTATAATTTTAATTCAATTAGAAAAAATGAAGATGTTCCAGTTTACAATTACGTTTCGGGTAGGGATAATCCTCTTCTATGGAACGATATGAGAATGTTAATGGAGGAATATAGAAGGTCAAAACCAATTTCCAAATCCATCTATTATCCATGCGGATGGTTCATGGACTCTAAAACATTATTTCTTGTTTTTAACTTTTTTTTACACTTATTACCAGCATTAGTGGGTGATTTAGTTTTAAAATTAATTGGAAGAAAGCCAATGTGAGTAATATACAGAAATAACTTTTTCCTTCTTTTCAAAGTACCCCACAGGACATACATTAGTTTTGGGTCCCAGTCGATTTTCTCATAAATTTTGAATTTTAATTTTGCATTCAGTCTGAAGAAAAGTATTAAATTGAAAAACAGGAAAATCGACAGGGACCCAAAACTAATATGTTTCCTGCGAAAAAATTTGAATTTAAATCACTTTTTTCAGACTCTATAATATTTATACCAGAGGAATGAAATTATTAGACATTTTAGTGCCATTCATGACTCAAGAATGGGAATTCGATACTCACAGGATACAAGCTCTATGGAATAGACTCTCAGAGGATGACAAAAAATTACTATCATTTGATATTACCACAATTAATTGGAATGATACAATGAATGTATATATGGATGGTATTAGAAAATTTATTATAAAAGAGAATAATGACGAGCACTCGATAAAAAAAGGCCAACGACATAATCAAAAGTAAGTGGATATACAATATAATTTATTAATTGATTAATCGTTAAACAAATTTATATATTGTAATTAAATTTCTTTTTTACTTTTTATTTTAATTCTGTTATGAGAGTGATAATGGCATTAATATTAATTCTTATTTTACAGACTTTGGATAATACATCAAATCGTGAAAATCATTACTGGATATTTTCTTCTATGGCTCATTTGGAAATTTGTTTCTATATTTTAAAATTTAATTAACTAATAGTAGGAATTTTTAATTATTAATAACTTTTATTAGAATTAAAATTACAAATAATAACCATAATTGTAAGTATTATATGTAAATTATTACTATTAATTTTTATATAACATTCATTATTTAGTGATAATAAATTTGAATATCGATATGTGTATAATGTGTACAAAAAATAATAAAAAAAAGTAAAAAAAAAACGTTCAGTATTTTAATTAATTAAGTTAAACTATAAAAACAGCACAGAGAAAATAGTTTTTAGTCTGAGAAAAAATAGATAGACCACCAAAACCATTGTTTGAATTAAACATATTTTATAATTCAATTAATCTCAATCTCTCAAATTCTAAATTTCTATTACATTTATATTTATTACTATATTATAATTTTTATTATAATCATTTTGATCTATAAGATTAAAATTAAAAAAAAGGGTAAATATAAGAAAATTTTAAACAATTAAAAAAAATACATAGTTAAAATTAGATTAATACTTTTACTAATGAATTAAAAAAAGGTAATTTTAAAAAAATTGTCTTCAAAGTTCTAGTTATCTAGCATGCAAATAAGGCCACTAAGCCATCCAAATTTAAAATTCAGTTTCTAAAAAATGCTTCCTTTTTTTTAATGAATATTGTGTTTTATTCTTAAGACCTTTCAGCATAATTTAAGTGCAAAAATTCGACTGTTCGAAGGTAACGTTACATATGCTTTTAAAAAAATTTGATACAAATAGATAATCCGCTATTTGACTATTATATCAAACTTATTACTATCACTATTGTTATATCATTATATTATTATTACATTATTATTTTTATTTTTATTAATACAATTATAATGATACCTAATTATTATTTTCAAAAACTATTATATATATATTATATAATTAACCTAAGTAAATTATTGAAATCAATTAAATAAAAATTATTCAATTCAATTAAATATTTATCTAATAATATGAAAAACTTAATTAGTTAAAAATACAAATCAAAAGAATTTTTTAATCATTTTCTATTTCTTTTTTTCAGTTTTTTATAATTTTTTTTCCATGTAAATAAATAAACAATGTTACTTGATAAAAATCGCAAATACAAAAAATGTACAGAGACTCAAACCAAAACAATCATTAGGCATCAACATTTATTTTATAAAATTAAATTAATTCTAAAATATATTGCTGCGATGATTGGAAAGTTTGTCAGCATTTTTATTTACATTTCCTTTGAAAATTCTAAATAAAAGTAACGTAACTCGTTTATATTTATAATTCATTTATGAGATATTCCCACCACAAATTTACATTTTTTTAAGTAAGACCACTATTGGTTTGATTTCAGTTTATATGCGCCTTTCGAACCAAAAATACCTTTTAAATTGTTACGGTCATAGTTTTTGTGTTTTCAGTACAAATTTTAGGAAAAAAATTAACTTTTAACTCAAATTAAAAAATAATAATTTCACTCTTTTCGTCATGTCAAAAATTCAAGAATTTTATAGTTATCAAAGTGTATTTATCACAGGTAATGAAATTTACTTAATAAAATTTTAAACAAAAATTATATTTTTTATAGAATATAAATAAACTCTTCATAAAGTATAAATAAATTCTTTAGAAATTATAAACAAACTTTCAATAAAGTATTCATAATTTTTTATAAACTTTATAGAAAAAATTGTATATTAGATAAAATTAGAAATATACTGTTTTACGTATTTGTATTTTTATAGTTAAAATATTTAATTATTTTGTCCATATTATTCATTATAGGTGGAACAGGATTTTTAGGAAAAGTTCTTATTGAAAAATTACTTCGATCATGTCCAAAGATAAAAGCCATTTATATTTTAGTCCGTCCGAAAAGAGGGAAACAAATTCGTGATCGAGTTAAAGAACTGATTAGTTCACGTGTAAGACTAATTTCAATTTTAACAAGAAAAATTTTAATCATATTTTAGTTCTTAAATGTATAAACTAATCCTTATGATAAGAATGATAATTAATAATTATAATAAATATTAATTATAATAATTATAAATTACAATAATTATTAATTAAAACAATTAATAATTACAACAATTAATAATTACAACAATTATTAATTATAATAATTACTAATTAACATATGGTCTAAATTACTCCACAATACGAAATTATTAATAGTAAATATCAATTTAACTGCAAACCAAAATTTAGATACATTAATTTGGTTCACTCTAAACATTTCAACAGATGTTTGAACCTCTAAAAGAAATAGATCCAAATTTTGACAAAAAAATTGTACCACTGGCTGGAGATATAATAGAACCTAATTTTGGACTGTCGACTGCAGATTTAGATTTACTTAAAAGAGAGGTAAAAAAACTAAAATCGTAAATATTTTCAATAACAAGTGAAATAAAAAAAATACTTGTTACAGAAAGTATTCACAACTAACGGATTAAAAATCCAATGTAAAATATAATTCAACTAATTATATTTTCAATATTAATTAATGATTTTAAAAATTATTAAGGTTTCGATTGTATTTAATGCAGCAGCGACAACAAGATTTGACGAAACATTGAAAACTGCACTTAAAGTGAATGTTGATAGTGTAAAAACTATGATTGATATCTCCAAAGGATGCAAAAATTTAAAGGTGATCAATTATTTTTAAGTCAACTTTCACTACATCCAGAAAGTAAATTTTACTCTTGAAAAAATTACTGATTTTTAGTAAATAGTAACTGAAAAATTAGTTAAATCTGACTAGTTCTATCAGTTAAAAACCACCACTCAAATATATTTTAACTAAATGATCAGAAAATATTACAACTTAAATCAGTGACTGACTTTTATAGTAATAGTTACTTTATTCAGTTTATTAATTACTTTATTTATTCGTGTAATTACGATTCGTGATTTTTCATTATGAAAATTCGGTTTCATGTAATTATTTAGGGAAATTTTTTCAAATAGGCTTTCGTATACGTGTCAACAGCATTTAGTAACTGTATTTATGAGCATATTGAAGAAAAAGTTTATCCAGCACCACTGTCACATGAAAAACTAACCGAACTTGTCGGTGTCATGGACCAATTAAATATGTCTAAAGAAGAAGAAATTAAATTCACAAAATTGTAAGTAAAATAACTACAAATGAATTTCCTTGACACTTGTATTTAAAGAATACTAATTATTTTATTGCAATGAAATAGAGTGGAATAACAATTTGCTGTATGACGTGAATATTAATTTTTAGGGTCATTGGCAAGTTTCCCAACACATATTGTTTTACGAAAGCAGTCGCCGAAGACCTCGTTAATCAAAGTGCAAACGAACTTCCAGTTTCCGTTTACAGATTTTCAATTGGTAATTCAATGTGTATTTTTGCGAGAAAAATTTGGTTTACGTTGACAATGCGAATAAGTTTTTTTTAAATATACAAAACTTGATAGGTAATTTTTTTTAGCTCTGGCAGCACTAAAAGAACCTTTAGAAGGATGGGTGGATTCAAAACAAGCGGTGACTCAGACTTTAATAGGAATTGCTTCGGGTATTATTCGAGTGATTTATGTAAACAAAGAAGCAAAGATGGAAACAGTACCAATTGATTTGGCTTGTAATTGTCTGATTGCTTCTGCATGGGATACGTCATCTAGTAAAAAGAAGTATGTCTATTGCAATATTTTAATCTCTAAGGATACATAAAAAGAAATCAAACATTAAATATCCGAATTATTTTCATCTTCTCGGAGCTCGAAATTAATTTTCTGTAAAGATCGGTACAAAAATCTCACAAGACTGAACGAAATCGTTAAAAATTTATTTCTGCAGTATTTGTAAATGTTACTAAATAATGGAGACAAGCATAATTTTATCCCTTAATAGAAATAATTTGAAAGTAAAAGGCATTTATAGATGTTAGTGCACTTGTAGTTGCTCTTAAACAATGTAGTCAACAATAATTTTATTAAGAGCAACTTCAAGGCAAAAGGCATTTGTTCGTTTTATTGTACTCCATTTATTATGGAGCTAAACAAAAATTAAATTTTTCCAGCGAACAAAAGAGTGTGCAAGTGTATAACTACGTTTCCGGAAGAGACAATCCTGTGACTTGGGACTATTTGGAAACTTATCTTCGTACTCAACGTTATAGATTAGCATTGAAAAAAACATACTACCATCCTGATATAATAATGATTGATTCCCTCTACTTATTTCTTATTCTCCACTACACATTGCATTTCATTCCAGCCATTTTAGGAGATGTATTTTTAAGAATACTAGGAAGAAAACCAGTGTAAGTAAAAAAGACGAAAATATTGTATACTTTTTAATTACGATAAAAAGATAAAAATTACTCATGTCCCTGACACTTTCGTCCAAAGGTTACACAAAGTTTTTAAAAAAGGAACAAAATTGGTATGGGTAATACGATTTTTTACCAATGGAAAATGGATTTTTGACACAGACAATGTTAAATCGTTGTGGGAAAAACTCTCTGAGAATGATAAGAAACTATTTAATTTCGACATTTCTTCATTTACTTGGGATGTAATGCTACGAACTCATTGCGAGGGGGGTAAAAAGTTTATATTAGAAACGGATCTAGATGAAGAAGGACAAAAGAAAGCTTGTCGCAGAGTAAGAAGGTAATTAATTTTCCAATCTAAGAATCATTACATTTTATAATTATACATATTTATATAGAAAAAAAGGATACATTAAGAAGAACTGATTGCATATTTTGGGTGTTTCAGATTATTTTACATTCATCAAGTTGTTCGGACTACATTCTATGCCTTAATCCTGTGGCTTATTTGGAAAATTTTTAGTTTTCTACTTAACAGATCTTAAACAATTAATCTTAAACAATTTTGTCATGGATAATTTTAAATTTCACAGAATACCTCAAGAAAAGTCGAACACAATTGAGAGATGTCTTCTTTAAAAAAAAGCAAGATGAAATTACTCATGACATTTTAAGTGTAAATAAAAATTCTCAAAAACAAATTTTAACTATGCGTTGAAAAAATTATTGACTAAAATTTTTTTCTAAAAATGCAACCTGATTTTTTCTAAAACAATCAATTCTAATTGTATTTAGAAGTTCGTTCTTCATAAATTTAAAAAACTTTAAATGTTCTAATACCTTAACTTGACATTTATCAACTTTGTAACGATGACACCTGGAATTATAAACAATTTAATAAAACTTTACATAAACAATGAATTGAAACTATGAAATATGCATTTATTCCCACCGAAAAATTAAATCCCTCATAGTGCAACATTCTTGCTTTCACTCAGTTGTTAAGCGCATTACCATCCCAAGTTACGCATCTGAATCGGGATAATTATTTTTCATTTAACTCCAAAAAATAAAACTACAAACTTCTAATAAATCTTGCATAATGACCGAAATTCAGCAATTTTACTCTGACCAAAGTATATTTATCACAGGTAATTAGTGTTATTTTATAAATATTAAATGTAATAGGTGTAAATTTTCTATCTACACTATTAAAAAAAGCTCTATCAGATTATAATACATGTGAGTTTTTTATTTTATTTTAAAATAATTTAAATTTAGGAAAATTTAAACTTCTTAATTTTTATTCAAAATCTAGGTGGTACGGGATTTATGGGAAAAATTCTAATTGAAAAACTGCTTCGTTTGTGTCCAAAGATAAAAACTGTGTATATTTTAGTGAGACAAAAAAAAAGGAAAACTCTTTCAAGATCGTGTCAAAGAAATTACTAATTCTCAGGTGAGATATTTCAATATTAAAAAAATTCTAATGTGTATGCACGCAAAAAAATGTATTTCATTATGATTATTACTTGTCTGTTATTAAAAATATTTATTTGTACCACATAACTTGTATTTAAGTCAATTAAATGATAGTTACTTCAAATACAATTTATTTGATTCGATAATAAAACCTAATTTCGCACTTTCTGACACAGATTTGGAGTTACTAAAGAAAAAGGTAAATCAATTGACATTTTTTTTTTTTTTTTTTGCTTAGGGACTTTTGGGAAATCTGCCTACAGATACCTTGGATTCCGCACTCCAAGGTTATGTGGGGTTGGTAAAATGAAACAGAAGGAAATATTAAAAAAAGATAAACAAATAAATGTTATAATAAATTTAATAAACTGGCGACCTACTACCAGCCCGACCCACTAAAACCCGTAACCCTTCTTCTGGAGACCTTTTCCCTCCCTCGGAACTGTCGTAAGACTTTAGCCTTCAAGGGTGGCGCTCCAACTCTGTCGCTAATGCGACCTTCTCCCTTTCTCTGCGGTCCTCCTGCGTCCGTAGTTAAAAAAATAATTAAAACTATTACAAAATCCAAGCGGAATTCACAGCACAACAATAATAAAAAACAAATTTTTAAAGAAGTGTAAAAAGTCAAAGATAAAATTGTAAACGGATATAAAAAAGAAAAGAAAAAAAAGTAAACACGTATATAATTACAAAATAAATTAATAAAAAACAAACTAACCAAAAGCTGTTTAAATCACGCCTGTTGGCTGCCGTCGAGATTCTTCCTCGACATAACCGAGGTAACGAAGTTCTCGACTTGCTCCTTTTAATACTTTTTATTTGCTTTTAGTTCTTGCGAGAGTCTTCTTCGCCTCCTCAAGGGCCGTCCTGAAGACTCCGCATCCTCCGCTGCCTGCAATATGGGTGGTTGACACCTTATTGCCAAACTTTTCCTTGCATAAAAAGCAACTTGGGCTCTTCTTACAGTTGGAGAATCTGTGACCGGCTTCACCGCACTTAAAGCACGCAGCCGATCTGTCCACCTTTTGGCATTTCGCTCCAATATGACCGTATCCCAAGCATCGATGACACCGGCGACCATTACTCTTTTTTTAATTGGGCAACACATAAAACCAATTTTTACGTGTCCCAATTTCTCCAACCTGTTCGCCTCTTCCGGGTTGGTGACTACAACCGCGAGCTTCATCCCTCGGCGGTTGGGTCCTAAGACCGTCACTCTCCTGTTTACTGGCTTACCCATTGCTTCAAACAACACTTGTTGCACCTCAGCTTCTTGGGTAAGACAATCCAAATCACGGATCTCGAGTGTAACTCTTCGATCCAATGACTGCACCTTACCCATGCTTCCAACCGCCTTGGTGACCTCAGCGGTGAAAGCGTCCTTATCGGAGTCTCCTCTGAACTTAATCAGAAGGTCCCCCTTGTTTGTAGCTTTTGCTGCTACTATTCTCGTATGGCTGTCCTCTGGGTTGACCTCTTTGCGAAGCTTACCCAGAACGTCAGCATATGTCAATCCTTCACCGACTCGGATTAGAACTGTGGATCTTTTTGACCCAATTCTTTCCAATTGAGGAATCTTTGGATCTGGTACTTCCGTTTCCATTGGAGGAGCTTCCTCCTTCTTCCTCTTATCGGTTTTGGTTCGAGTCTCTTCTGGACTGTCACCCTCTCTCTTCCGTTTCTGAGCATCTCTTAAGACGCTTTTGAGATTACGCCTATAGAAACGTTCTCTCTCTTTCTTACGGTCCTTGCGGTTGCATTCCGCACCGCTCAGAACGCATGCCAAATCGACGTCCGACTCATCGGCCGCGGCATGCTTTGCCCTTGCCTCCTTTAGCAGGACGTCGATGACCTTGAGTCCATCCTTTACCGTCCTATTGACGGTCTTCTGAATGTCGCAAGATTTTATCATCTTTGCGACCTCCAACTCCATTTTTTCGAGACAAGTCGTCTCCTCCTTTCTGAGCCGCAAGCATATCTCGCGAGTCTCTTCTATCGCCTCGTCGTCTACTTCTGAGTGGATAGCGCTATGAACGGTTTTTCCGCTACTGCAGCTTGACACACTCAGAAGGCTCGACGTGCTTCCTTTCCTCGTTTTTTTATTTTCCACGATGTTCTGTGGATCTACCCTTTCCACGATCACTCGTGGCACTGCAAGAAATTGTGCGCCCCACAATCCGCGCGCACTTGAGCATCGGTTCTGGGACCGATGGTAAGATTTCCCGTTTCCGGCCTGCTCACATGGGGTACCTTCTCAGAATTTTTTGAATTCATTTTTTCTTGCTGTTTGGTTGCCCTTTAGTTGAAAGCCCCGCCACCACGACAAGGTCTACCGAACATATCCATGATGTCAATCATGTGTGACAGTGGATATGCATAATAGATTTAAAATCTAATGCGAAATTATTAGTAAAGTTCTGAACTATTAATAAAAAGTTTTAAATTTTATTTATAGGTTTCTATTGTATTTCATGTAGCAGCGACAACAAGATTTGATGAACCATTGAAAACTGCACTTAAAGTAAATGTTGATAGTGTAAAAACTATGATTAACATCTGCAAAGAATGCAAAAATTTAAAGGTTACCGAAAATTTAATTGTCTATTATCTATTATAAATATTGGTTATCATAAAATTATTCAAGGAAATTTCTTTTAAATACAGGCTTTCGTTTATGTATCAACAGCATTTAGTAATTGCATTTATGAGCATATTGAAGAAAAAGTTTATCTAGCTCCACTGTCACATGAAAAACTAACCGAACTTGTCGGTGTCATAGACGAATTAAATATGTCCAGAAAAGACGAACTCGAATTCACCAAATTGTACGCACAAGAATAATCATTCTAAAATCCTTTAAGATTTTATTCTTGAATTAAAAATATTTCTCTTCATCGGAGAGTATTTCCTTTGCTTTTAAGAGGAATTCTCTCTAGTCGAGAATAATTCTCATAAAATAAAAAGTTTGGAAAATATGCATCCAAATAAAATTTGGAAAAATACATTTAATTTAAATAAATGGTCTTTTCAATGTAAAATTATTACTTGTATTAAATATAAAAATTAACTTTTAGAGTTCTCGGCAAGTTCCCAAACACATATTGCTTCACAAAATCAATTGCTGAAGAAGTTGTCAGCAACAATGCAAAAGAACTTCCAGTTTGCATTTACAGATTTTCAATTGGTAATTTAATTTAAGTTTTGAACACAATGATTATGTTGGCATTAAGTATAATGTCTGTCATTAAATCTAGAAAGAGTGATATTAATATTTCTTTTTCAGCTGTAGCTGCTCTAAAAGAACCTTTACAGGGATGGGTGGATACAAAACAAGGAATATCACAGGCTTTAATAGGAATTGGTTCAGGTCTTATTTGAGTGACGTATGCAAAACCAAGTGCTAATATGGAAATAGTACCAGTTGATTTGGCTTGTAATTGTCTAATTGCTTCTGCATGGGATACATCATCTAGTAAAAAAAAGTATGTCTATTTCCCAAAATTTTATACTTATATGAATAAAAATTAAATTGATAAAAAACCTTGCTACAAAAATAATTCTTCAAAATTTTTTATTTGTAAATTTAATTCGAAATAGAGGTTTTACTTCGTAAAATTCAGTACTAGAAAGAACCTCCATTGCAGGGAAAAATTGAGGAAACACATGCAATAATGAACGGGGCAAGAGGACTCATCGCCCACTGAAAATTAAGGCAAATATCATTGAGAAAACTTGTTTTATATATAATTTTCTACACATTATTATATTTCGTTTTCTCTTGAGACAATTTCTTTTTCCGATCATTTTTACTTTATCTCGATATAGTTAGGGATCCATCCGAGCGTGTCGTCTGTTATTCCATGTGGCCCCTCAATTTAGAGTAACTTTTTTTTGCAAATAAATCCGAAATTGTAAGAAATTTGTACACATTTCCGCCTTTGTGAATATTAGTTTTATTTATTTATTATGAAGTTAAACAAAAATAATCTTTTTCTAGCGAACAAAAGAGTGCGCAAGTATATAACTACGTTTCCGGAAGAGACAACCCTAAGACTTGGTATTATTTGCTGAATTTTTTTCGTTCTCATCGTTATGAATTATTATTGAAGAAAATATACTACTATCCAGATACAATAATGACTGATTCTCTGTACTTATTCTTTATTCTCCACTACACATTGCACTTCATTCCTGCCATTTTAGGAGATATATTTTTAAGAATACTAGGAAGAAAACCTGTGTAAGTAAAAAATACGCAAAAATTGTATATTTTTTTATTATAAAGATCCCTGAAGTTAGCGTCGACGTTAGTTAATCATGATTAACCTAAAGTTATTCAGGGACCAATGCAGAAAATAGTGTATAACAATTTTTTCAATAGTTCTGACAATTAACAAAAACTCCTTGCCGATAGACCACAAAAACAACACGAGCACGTACGGGTAAACAAATAATATAAAAAATATTGGGTGCTAATTCACGTAACATTATAATTTTCACAATAAAATCTTCAGACAAAGTATTTTCATAGTAAATCAAGAGTTTTTGAGATTTTATAAATAAAATACAGAATAATAAAAATAAAAAAAAATTTAATTCTAAAGTTTACCCAGCTGCGATGAAAGCAAATTAGGCACTAAACACTTTCTTACAAAAAAAGAATAACATATTTTTATTTAAGGAAACACAAAGCTTTTAAAAAAGGATCAAAATTGATATGGGTTATAAGTTTCTTTACGAACGGAGAATGGATATTTGATACTGACAATGTTCAATCGTTGTGGAAAAAACTCTCTGAGAATGATAAGAAACTATTTAATTTTGACATCACGTCATTTACTTGGGATGAACTAATCCGAATTTATATTGACGGAGGTAAGAAGTTTCTATTAAAAACGGAATTGGACGAAGAAGGATTGAAAAACGCTATACGTAGAGTTAAAAGGTAAATTATTAATTTTCCACTCTAAAAAAATTACTTCATAATTATTTAAATATATAGAATACCTGTAGAAAAACGCGACATGACAAACAACTTAAATATGACTTAAGTGAGAGCTCTAATCTTCAATTTTAACTTTTGTAAAAATAAAAACCATGTAGCAGTAATTCAAAATTGTCAGGAACAACTTCGGTCAAAGACAAAAGAGTTAATTAAATTCTCTTGAAACTTGATATTTAGGAGTTTTTAGAGTCGCTGATTACTCTCTAAATGTGAATCATTGATTAACTTTTAATTAAAGTTGGTGAAATTAGCCCTTAGATAGTTCGAATTCAATGTTATTTTTGCAAAATTCAATATGATTCAATATGAGTTATTGCTACACCCTTTTAACTGGTTCTGCTATCGTTAACTATTGCAGCAAAAAAACTCGCAAAAAAAGGAGACATTAATGAAAAGTGATTGCACGTTTGGAATGTTTCAGACTTTACTACGTTCATCAAATTGTACAGGGAACATTCTACGCGATAGTTTTGTGGATTGTTTGGAAAATTTGTAATCTACTATTTCTCAGGTTATAACTCTTCTGCGGCATAATATTTTGAATTTAAGAGAATATTTCAAGGAAAGTCGGACCCATAATATGACAGATGTATTCTACCATAAGTTTATTTTTTAACTTGACATTTATCAACTTTGTAACTATGACACGAGTAGTTATTAACAGTTTAATAAGATTCTGCATTAACAAAGAATTAAAACTATGTATTATGCATTTATTCCCACTGAGAAATAAAATTTTTCATAGTGCACTTCATTTTTGCACTTTTATAAAAAAAAGTCGGGCTTTAAAGAGTTAAACTAAAGAAAATGTAAACTTCCTAATGTTAATTCAAAACCTAAGTGGTACGGGATTTGGGGGAACAATTCTTATTGAAAAACTGCTGCGTTCGTGTCCAAAGATAAAAACTGTATATTTTAGTGAGACAAAAAAAAGAAAAGCTCCTTCAAGATCGTGTCAAAGAAATTACTAATTCTCAGGTGAGATATTTTAATATTAAAAAACTCTAATGTGTATGCACTAAAAAAATTTATTTAATTATGATTATTACTTGTATATTATTAAAAATATTTATTTGTATCACCTAACTTGTATTTAAGTCAATTAAATGATTGTTACATCAAATACAACTTATTTGATTCTATTGAAGATTTGATAGAAAAATGATTCGATTTAAGTAAATATTTATTTGACAAATAATCGGTTATTACAATCAAATAAAGTTTTCTAAATGAGGCTGTTAGTAATTATTATAAATATTACAATAATTTAATAATAAGATGACAAATCAATTGAATTCGTTATAAAAATTTTTGGAACAAATGTTTGAACCTCTAAGAGCAGTAGATTCAAATTTTGAGAAAAAAATTGTACTAATATCTGGTGATTCAATAAATCCTAATTTTAAACTTTCTGACACAGATTTGGAGTTACTAAAGAAAGAGGTAAATCAATTGACAGTGTAAATTTATTTTAATTAAATGAAACAAGATTAAAGTTCTTAATTATATAAACAGCAGTTTATGAGTAACAGACTGTAACGATTTTCTTACTTGAGAAAATAAATAAAAACCGCGAAAATACAAATTAAAAAAAAAATAAAAATTATAAGACAAAAGATTTCAAATAATAGGCTGAAATAATAGGCCTGACGTCAGGAATTTATTATTATATTGTATAATATATAATAAATAAAGTCCTGATGGCTATTAATATTAATTTAAATTTTTATTTTACTTAGGTTTCGATTTTAATTTACATTAAATCTTTATAAAATTAAAAAATTAATTTACAATATTAAAATTATCATTTTAATGTGAATATTAATTTTTAGGATTATTGTCAAGTTCCCCAACACATATTGTTTCACAAAATCAATTGCCGAAGAAGTTGTTAGTAAAAGTACAAAAGAACTTCCTGTTTCCATTTATAGGGGAGAGTAGTCAGGGTTGGACATAGTTTTAACCTTTCTTCATAACTTTCCCTGTAGGATGAATTTCGCGAGGGAATGAGGATATGAAGCAAGAAATTTATGAACAATTTTCGTAAGCTTATTTCGTCTGGCATATTTCTTCTACATTTAGTTCTCTTCTTTTGAAACCGCCAAAAAATTTTTGCCGAGTTAGGACAGCACAACAAACTACTTAGCTGCTATTTAGTTAAGGAGAAAGATAGAGAGGGAGGGAGGAGGAGAAAATTAAAATACATTATCCCTTGAATCAAGCTTCCAATGCTCTAATCAAATTATTTAGATAAGAAAAAATCAATTTTTTAATTAAGGTCCAAAAATGTGGAAGTTCTTGTTAGCTTTACATGCAAATTGAATTTGAGATTCTTACGTATTTTTAATACATAATTATTTAAATATTTAAGGTTATGCAAGGATTTCAAAATATTTGATACAGATAATGTTAAATCGTTGTGGGAAAAAATCTCTGAGAATGATAAGAAACTATTTAATTTCGACATTATATCATTTACTTGGGATGTAATGCTACCAACTCATTGGGAAGGGGGTTAAAAGTTTATATTAGAAACGGATCTAGATGAAGAAGCACAAAAGAAATCTCAATGCAGAGTAAGTAGGTAATTAATTTTCCAATTTAAGAATCTGTCAATTTTATAATTATACAGATTTATATAGAAAAAAAGGGATACATTAAAAAGAATTGATTGCATATTTGAGATGTTGCAGATTATTTTACATTCATCAAGTTGTTCGAGGTACATTTTATGCCTTAGTGTTGTGGCCTATTTGGAAAACTTTTTTATTTTTCTAATCAATAGATTATAACTCTTGTGCAATTTGCTAGCGATAATTTTAAATTTCACAAAATATGTAAAGAAAAGTCAAACACAATTGAGAGATGTTTTCTTTAAAAAGAAGCAATATGAAATTACCTATGACTTTTTAAGTGTAAATAAAAATTCTCAAAAACAAATTTTAACTTTGCGTTGAAAAATTTATTGTCTAAATTTTTTGTCTAAAAATGCAACCTGCTTTTTTTACAACAAACAGTTCTAATTATACTTAAAAGTCCGTCCTTCATAAACTTAAATAACATTCAAATGTTCTAATATTTTAACTTGACATTTATCAACTTTGTAATTATGACACCTGGAATTATAAACAATTGAATGAAACATTATATTAACAATGAATTGAAACTATGAATTATGCATTTATTCCCACCGAGAAATTAAATTTCTTATAGTGCAACATTGTTGCTTCCATTAAGTTGGAAAGCGCTTTATCGTCAAGTTACATTACTTTGTGTGCAGTTAAAAAAATTTACAACTTAACTACAATTTTATAATAAATCTTCCATTATGACCGAAATTCAGCAATTTTACACAAACCAAAGTATTTTTATCACAGGTAATTAGTGTAATTTTGTAAATACTAAATGTCACAAGTATAAATTATCGGTACGGCTCCACACTGAAAAAAAGTTCATTGAATCAAGTAAATGCATTTTCTTGACCTAATTTACTTGAAACAAATCCATATTTTCTTATTGGAAAAAATTTATTTTCTTGTGTCAAGTAATTTTGAGCATTGAGCAAAGTTATTGAAATAGTAATATAAGTATATTACTGTTTCAAACGAACTGTTTTACATGCGCTAAGGCCCGAAAAAGTATTGAATCAAGAATATTATGTTCTCACGTCAAGTAATTTACTTGAGTCATTTGGTATCTTGAGTCAAATAATTTTTTTATTTATAGTCTTGATCCAAAAAAATGGGAAGATTAATAAAGGTTAATAATTGTTTCAACTCAATTAAAAATTATTTTTTTTCAAAGAAATATTAATTAATCTAAGCATTTCAAAAACATTAATTTCTTACGAGAATGTTATATTTTCTGGAATGAAATATTTTATTTATTCAATTCATCTAAGTGTAAGATCTTGAATTAAATAATTTTTTTGATTCCTTTAAAACAAGATTTTACTTAATCTAACACCCATAGTCTTGAGCTAAGAAAATATGAAGATTAATACAAGTTAATAATTGTTACAACTCAATTAAAAATTACTTTGTTTCAAAGAAATATTAATTAATCTAATCATTTCTTGTACTTGAAGCACTTCTATATTACCATGTTTCAAGAACATTTAATTTCTTAAAATAATATTATATTTCCCTTGAATTAAAAAATTAATTTTTTTATTTGAATTATTCATAAAATTCTTAAATCAAATCATTGTTTTGTTTCCTTTAATAAAGTTTTTACTTAATACAACGCTCATATAATTTTGATTCAAGAAAATACGAAGGTTAACATAAGTAAATATTTGTTTCAAGTTGATTAAAAATTACATTGAATTAATCCCATATTTATTTGAAGAAAGAAATTCATTTTCTTGTGTCAAGTAATTATTAGCATTGAACAGAATTCTTGAATTAACAATTCAGTATTTGGCGGAACTAAATATGTTATTACTTCAACTAAATATTTTACTTTTCCGAAGTACCAAAAAGTATTGAATCTAGAATATTATATTCTTAAGCGAAATAATAAATTATTGTCTGGAGAAATCATGTTTCTTGAATCGAATCATTTTATTTATTTGCTTTGAAACTTTTTTTTACTTATCACAATGCCGGTGTTCTTGATCCAAGAAAATATTTTTCGTTAAATGGATATATGCAACTTGAATATCAGTTTTTGAAAACTGTCCATTGAGACTAGGATGGCATAGTAGTATCGTGACGGCTTATGTTGCGTGCAACCCGGGTTCAATTCCTCCGACCGTGAAAAATTTTCTTTCAAGGTATATTAGTTGTACTTGTGTTAAGTATAATTAAATGTAAATATATATGTAAAATAAGAATTATTTAATTATTTAAATAAAAAATATAAATAGATGAAATTTTTTTTGTGGATTCTTAATATATTAATTTAAATAATTTGTAGGCCAGTTTTTCCACAATTGTTTGTTTATTAACTTTTGTTGTTAAAACAACGTTTCGGTAGTAGCCACTACCCTTATCAAGTTTAAATTAAAAGCACTGAAAAAATTTTTTTGAGAGTAACAATTGATTTTATAATTTTATATACTTATATAAAATCCGGAAAAAGTGTATACTTACATAAAGCATTGTCAAGAAAATAATTAAGTTTTTGTAAAATAAAATATTTTAGATATTTTAGTCTCAAAAAAATTTTTTCAGTGCTTTTAATTTAAACTTGATAAGGGTAGTGGCTACTACCGAAACGTTGTTTTAACAACAAAAGTTAATAAACAAACAATTGTGGAAAAACTGGCCTACAAATTATTTAAATTAAAAAATATAAATGTTAATTAATTAAATAATAAAAATGTTTGACCTAAGTATTACAAAGGATGGGATGGGGGAAAGGGGGGGGGGGGGTAATTTAAGTAAATAATTTACTTGTATTGAGAAAATATTTTTTTAATTGAAATCTATAAATTTTCTCAAATCAAGAAAATATTTTCTCGGTCAGAGAACATATTTTCTTGATTTGATACATAAATGATTTTGCATTAATATATTCTGCATTTCTTACATCCTACTTAATATCTTGATCGAATTCAATATTTTCTTGGATCAAGAAAATCTGTTCTTCTCACAAAATAAATGTTTTCTTCATCTAAATCTTGAATTGCTTAAACGAACGTTACAAAAAATTGAATGAATAAAATAAAATAATTCAATTGACTATATATATTCTTAGAACAAGAAAATATTTTATTCATTTAAACCTTAAAACGAACCCTGGGTGTGCGACACCCATATTCTAGCTTTTTACTCTAATATTTCGGTTAAATTCGTAAAAATTGAACATGTGTTTATATTGGACGGTACATTTTGTACTTAAATTTATGTTTCGTGAGTGACATTAGTCTGCCAAGTGTCTTTGTGTATTTGATAACTTTATGAAGTTGTCGGCGAAAAATTTCTGCTTGTCTGACACCCAGTTTTTGGTTTAAGGTAATTTCAGTAGTTTTAAAAAACTCTTTTTTAATTATTAAAATTAAATAAATCATTATGAAACCTATTTTCCTTCAAAATAGATGTACTGAGCTATATAAGATAATTTTTCCAAAAGATAATGTCCTATTCTAGCTTGGAGAACACACTTAAAAGTCCCCGGGTGTCGCACACCCAGTGTGCGGTTTAAGGATGGATTCGGCAGTGTGCGGTTTAAGGGTTAATACATTTTATATTTCGTACAAGACGATTAACTTCTTCGTCGAGTTCCATATTTTCTTGGATCAAGAATATATGTTCTTCTCCAAAATATACTATGTCAAGAAAATCGTTTTCTTGAATCAATACTATAATAGTCTTGGGCGTATTCAATCACACGATTTGCTACAATCAAGAAAAATTTTCTTGGTTCAATACTTTTTTTTCAGTGCACGCGCATGGCCCAAAAACATAACAATCTCTAAGTCACGATCTTTCTGTAAAAACAAATGTCAGGAAATTAACAAATATATCATTCAAAAGCTTATAATATTCTACGTTAATTGATATACATTTGAAAATTTTAATAAACTACACAAATATTTTAGTAATCGACAAATTTAAAAAAAAATGAAAATTTCTTTTTCAATTTTTTTAAATCTTATGATTAAAGTCTCATCTTTAATTTAAAACTAAAAAGTTAAAAAAATCTTATTCGATTCGTGAGACATCATTATAAACGTTTTCGGTCAAAAACTGTACAAAATTGACTATTTCAATGCATTTGTTCTTTTGGACACATTTTTTTCAGTTTTTACACGACATTTATAATGATATCTCGCGAACCGAATAAGATTTTTTAACTTCTTTGGTCTTAAATTAAAGTTGAAACTTAAAGGAGAAATTGAAACTTGAAAATGTTGTATACAATTTTTAAAAAATATGCAGTAGTTAAAGAATTGTAAAAAATTGTCAATTTTTAAAAAAATTTGTGTAATTTATTAAGATTTTCAAATGTTTACTTTTTAACGTAAAATATTATAAGCTTTCGAATGGTATTTTTGTCAATTTTCTGACATTTGTTATTACAGAAAAATCATGATATAAAGATTGGTATGTTTTTGGGCCATGTGCGTGTCACTATTAGATTATGATACATGTGGGTAAATTTTCATTTCATTTTAAATTAGCTTAAACTAAAAAATTCCTAATTGTAATTTAAAAATCTAGGTGGCACGGGATTTGTTGGGAAAGTTCTCATTGAAAAACTGCTTCGTTCGTGTTCAAAGATAAAAACTGTTTATATTTTAGTGAGAGAAAAAAAGGGGAAGCCAATTCAAGATCGTGTCAAAGAAATGACTAATTCTCAGGTAAGATTTTTCAATATTAAAAAATTCTAATATGTACGCACTGAAAAAAATTTATTTGATTCAAACAAATGGTTAATTGTTTATTATCAAAGATATTTATTTGTATCACCTAACTTGTATTTAAGATAATTAAATGGTTGTTAGATTTGATATGAAAATGATGTGATTCAAATAAATATTTATTTGACAATTGACAAATACACGGAGAGAAAAAAAAAGTTGTAACTACTTTCTTTTGAGTCGTCATGCTAATTATTATTATTATTATTATAAAAAATATTACAATAATTTAATGTTAAAATCACAAAACATTTGAATTCGTTATGAAAATTTTTTGAACAGATGTTTGAACCTCTAAGAGCAATAGATCCAAATTTTGAAAACAAAATTGTAGCGATGTCTGGTGATATAATAAAACCTAATTTTGCACTTTCTGACACAAATTTGGAGTTACTAAAAAAAGAGGTAAATCAATTGACATTTTAAATTTATTTTAATTAAACGAAACAAAATTGAAATTCCTAATCATAAACAGCGCAAGTAACAGACTTCAAATCTAATGCGAAATTATTAGTAAAGTTCTGAACTATTAATAAAATGTTTTAAATTTAATTTATAGGTTTCAATTGTATTTCATGTAGCAGCGACAACAAAATTTAATGAACCATTGAAAACAGCCTTTCAAGTAAATGTTGATAGTGTAAAAATTATGATTAACATCTGCAAAGAATGCAAAAACTTAAAGGTGACCGAAAATTTAATTGTCCATTATCTTTTATAAATATTGGCTATCATAAAACTTTTCAAGGAAATTTCTTTTAAATGCAGGCTTTTGTTTATGTATCAACAGCATTTAGTAATTGCATTTATGAGCATATTGAAGAAAAAGTTTATCCAACTCCACTGTCATATGAAAAACTAACCGACCTTGTCGGTGTCATAGACGAATTAAATATGTCCAGAAAAGACGAACTCGAATTCACCAAATTGTAAGTAAAATAACTACAAATGAATTTACTTACTTTAAGAGAAATACTCTCTAGTCGAGAATAATTTTCAAAAAATAAAAAGTTTGGAAAATATGCATCCAAATAAAATTTGGCAAAATACATTTAATTTAAATAAATGGTATTTTCAATGTAAAATTACCACTTGTATAAATATAAAAATTAACTTTTAGAGTTCTCGGCAAGTTCCCAAACACATATTGCTTCACAAAATCAATTGCTGAAGAAGTTGTCAATAAAAGTGCAAAAGAACTTCCAGTTTGCATTTACAGATTTTCAATTGGTAATTTAATTTAAGTTTTGAACACAATGATTATGTTGGCATTAAGTATAATGTCTGTCATTAAATCTAGAAAGAGTGATATTAATATTTCTTTTTCAGCTGTAGCTGCTCTAAAAGAACCTTTAGAGGGATGGGTGGATGTAAAACAAGGAATAACACATACTTTAGTAGCAATTGGTTTAGGTCTTATTCGAGTGTTATATGCAAGAGGAAATGCTAATATGGAAATAGTACCAATTGATTTGGTTTGTAATTGTCTAATTGCTTCTGCATGGGATACATCATCTAGCAAAAAAGAGTAAGTCTATTTCCCAAAATTGTATATTTATAAATAGAAACAAAATTGATGAAAACCTTGCTACAAAAATAATTTTGCAAAATTATCCATTTATAAATTTAATTCAAAATAAAGGTTGTATTTCTTAAAATTTTGTCTCTCAATTTAGAGTAACTTTCATTATTTACAAATAAATCCGAAATTGTTAAAAATTTGAACACATTTCTGCCTTTGTAAATTTTACTTTTATTTATTTATTATGAAGTTAAACAAAAGTTAACTTTTTCTAGCGAACCTAAGAGTGTACAAGTATATAACTACGTATCCGGAAGAGATAACCCAGGGACTTGGTATTATTTGCGGAGTTGTCTTCGTTCTCTACGTTTTAAAATCCCATTGAACAAACAATATTACTTTCCGGAAACAATAATGACTGATTCCTTCTTTTCATTCCTTATTCTCCACTACACACTGCACTTTATTCCAGCTATTTTAGGAGATGTATTTTTAAGAATACTAGGAAGAAAACCTGTGTAAGTAAAAGAAACGCAAAAAAAGAATACTTTTTCATTATGTAGGTCCCTGAAGTTAGAGTCGACGTTGAGAGTAGAAAAAATTTTTTCTCTAAAATCGAAAAGAATTGAACAATTTTTTTAGAAACTTTGAATTTAGAGGTACCTTGAAATTCTTTACAGCTCCTAGTTTGGGCAGCTGAAAGAAGTTTGGAAGTCTATTTACATGTCGGCAGGCCAAAGTAATGTGCGGAAGTCGATGTCCGTTCGGCCTGCCGGAAGGCCAAGTAGACAAGCGCCTTTTATTATTTTTATAATAATTTTTATAAACAAATAATAATAATTTTTTTAAATAAAAATTACAAAATGACAATACCAATAAAATTAATAAAGTTATATGCCAAAAAGCGTCTGTCTACTTGGCCTGCAGGAAAAGGCTTTCTGCAAGTCAAGTACTTGGACGTTCTGTTATTAACCTCAGGTTAATTAAAATTTTATAAGTTGTGCATATAGTTCTATGTTTACAATTAAAATTTTCACAAATTATACTCATAAACTTTTTTGTACAATCAAAATAAAAAAAATTACATAATTGATGCATTAAACAGAATATTATAACACTGCAATAGTCCAAAATACTACAAATTTAAATGCTGCAATGAAAGCAAATTAGGCACTTAATATTTTCTTACAAAAAAAAGAATAACAAATTTTTATTCAAGGTTACACAAATCTTTTAAAAAAGGATCAAAATTAGTATTGGCCATAAGATTTTTTTTATGTGGAGAATGGATATTTGATACTGACAATGTTAAATCGTTGTGGAAAAAACTCTCTGAGAATGATAAGAAACTATTTAATTTTGACATCACATCATTTACTTGGGATGAACTAATACGAATTTATTTTGAGGGAGTGAGGAAGTTTGCATTAAAAACGGAACTTGATGAAGAAGGATTGAAAAACGCTGCACGTAGATTAAGAAGGTAAATTATTAATTTTCCTCTCTAAAAAGATTACTATTTAATTATTTGAATATATTGGGAACCGCAGAGCTGCGTAGGCCCTCTGGTGTCGACCCACTTGCGGTAGTTGTCTTTACATTTCGTCTCTCTCTAACATATGTAAAAAAAAGAGATAAGAAACCAAGATGTCGGACGCAAGTGGGTACAGGGGTGGGTCAGTTTCACATGATTTCGGATCCCAATAGACTACCTATAGAAAAAGGGACGTGGATAACAGTTCAAATATAGCTTAACCCTTTAAGAGGCGGTAGGACGTATATGTCCCACCTTTAAAAACTTCAATATCTTTGACGAAAGTTAATATTTTTGAGTCAAATTCAGTGCGTTCTCTTCAGGAACAAAAGGGCTTTAGAAATATGTTACCTAGATCATGTTGAAAAAATTCCTATTGTTTAAAAGAATTCATAAATTATTGCTAAAAATCACAAATTTTTTAAACATTTTAAAATCAACTAAAAATTGTTACTCGGGGGTTTTTGGGGTCGCTGATTACGAATATGACATGTTTTTAAAAATTTTAAATGGCGGATCCAATATGGCGGACAATTTTTTTTAATTAATCGGATTCACTTGAAAATGTTTACTCGGGGGTTTTTGGGGTCGCTGATTACGATTCTGATGTTAGTTTTTAAAAATTCAAAATGGCGGATCCAATATGGGGGAAGATTTTTTAAAAATTGTATAGTTTTACCTGAAACTTGTAACTCGGGGGTTTTTGGGATGGCTGATGACGAATCTGATGTTAGTTTTTAAAAATTCGAAATGGCGGATCCAATATGTCAGATGACAAATGTAAAAATTTATTAGTTTAACACGAAACTTGTTACTCAAAGGTTGTTGTAGTCCCTGATTATCAATGTTTAGTTTATTTTTAAATTTAGATTGTGGGTTAATAATTAGCGAAGAAATTTTTTAATCAGTGACTTCGAAAATTCCCAAATAACAATTTTTAAGTAAATCCAATTAATTTAAAACAAAATTGACCGCCATATTAGATTCGCAATTTGGAATTTTTAGAAACCAACATCAGATTCGTAATCAGCGACCTCAAAAATATTAAGATATGAGTTGTAAAGAAAATCCGTCCATATGAATAATGTGCCCCTCAAAGGGTTAAGTGAGAGCTCTAATCTTAAATTTTAACTTTCAGAAGCGAAAAACCATTTAGCAAGTAATTTAAAATTGTCAGGAATAACTTTGGTCAAAGACAAAAGAGTTCATTAAATTCACTTAAAACTTGATATTTAGAAGTTTCTAGAGTCGCTGATTACTCTCTAAATTTGAATCATCTATAAGTATATCACTGATTTCAATTAGCGTATTTATTCACTGAGAGATTAGTGAAATTTCACTGAATTATTAGCATATATATGCTGATTGAAATCAGTGGTACTTATAGCTGGAAATAAGCAAGATTTTACTGATAAAGATTTAGAGAGTACGAATACGATGTTAGCTTTGCAAAATTCAATATGACGGATTTATTAAGTCAGAAGATTTTTTGAAAATTGATCCAATTCGCTTGAAACTTGTTACTCGGCTCCGCACGCAGTCTAAAGTTGTAGCCGAAAATTTTGAGTTATTGCTACATACTTTTAACTGGTGACTGCTGACGAATCTCTAAAAATTAGCTTCTACATGGCGAATCTTTTCGATCTCACAGCGAACTTGTCAGCTGTCCTTATTTCAACTAACCGAGTTTGCTGTGATAGCTAAGAGTTCTGCTATCCTTAACTTTTGCAGCAAAAAAAACTCAAGAAAAAATGAGACATTAATAAAAAGTGATTGTACGTTTGAAATGTTTCAGACTTTACTACGTTCATCAAGTTGTTCGGGGCACATTCTACGCCATTGTTTTGTGGCTTGTTTGGAAAATTTATAATCTACTATTTCTCAGGTTATAACTCTTCTGCGGAATAATATCTTGAATTTCACAGAATATCTCAAGAAAAGTCGAACCCATAAGACAGAAGATGTAGTCTTCATGAAGAAAAATTTGAGAAAATTACTCCAGACTTTCTCAGTGTAAATCAAAAACTTTTAAATAACAATCCTTACAAAAATTTAGAATTCGTGTTAAAAAAATTCATTAACGTAGTTATAACTTTAATTTTTTTCAAAAATTGCAGCTTGCATTCCTTTAAAACAAATGATTCAAATTCTACTTAAGGAGGGAAAAACGTGTAAATGCACGTTTTTTTAAAGAATTTTTTACACATAAATGGTGAAGTTTATTAAATTTATGTAAAGCACATCTTGAAGTATATAATGTAATCCCAACAAAAACAGCTTTGATGCAAAAAGTTCCGCCAAATAAAAGATTTTGTGACTGTCCAAACAATTAGTGAAATAAAAGTTTACAAAGTAAAATTTATAATTAAAATTTTAATAATGATTGATTTTAAATATTTTCTCTCCTACACAACTCGAAGTACATATTGCAGTTGAAAAAAACAACCCGGGCTTAGCTATTGTTATTGTACATTGCGGCTTAATTACATTTCCGAATTAAGTCAATGTTCTTCATTGCATTTTGAATTGTAACAAATAAAATTTAACAATTAACATTCACAAAAAACGAAATCTAAAAATTACTCGTCATAATAAAAAATGTCTGATTCAGCAATTTAAAAATCTTGGCGTCAATAATGCTTCTAACTTGTAATTAATGGAAGTATTGACGCCAAGATTTTTAAATTGATGCATCAGAAACTTTTTATTATGACGAGTAATCAGATTTAGTTTTTTGTAAATGTTAATTATGAAGTTAAATTTTATTTGTTACAATTTAAAATGCAATGAAGAACATTGACTTAATTCGGAAATGTAATTCAGCCGCAATGTACAATAACAACAGCTAAGCCCGGGTTGTTTTTTTCAACTGCAATATGTACTTCGAGTTGTGTAGGAGAGAAAATATTTAAAATCAATCATTATTAAAATTTTAATTATAAATTTTACTTTGTAAACTTTTATTTCACTAATTGTTTGGACAGTCACAAAATCTTTTACTTGGCGGAACTTTTTGCATCAAAGATGTTTTTGTTGGGATTTTAAAACTTTTTGCGTCATCTCAACTTTTTATAAATGAAATAATTAATTATAAAAATATTGTGGACTTTGATCTAATAATTTAAAATAAAATACAATTAAGTTTTAAATAAGAATTTATTTAAGATATGATTCTTTACAGAAACTTTTAAATAATAACAAAATAAAAAAAGAATAGAAGAGAAAATTGATGTTTTGATTAAACTAAAAAATTTTTTTTAAACATAAATTAAAAATTAAAAAATAATGTATTAAAATTTTTAAAATAAATTTCTAGCTTTCAATCCATAATAATATTTTCAAATATTTTACAAATCTGTTAAGTACAGTTTAGTCTCTACGCTTGTATAAATGTCAAAAAATCAAAAATTTTTTAAGAAAAACTCTTTCAAAAAATACTTAATGTATTGAAATTTTATGCAATGTATATAGAGATTTTAACCCAATCAATAACATTCTAGAATATTTTACATATCCATTTAGAATTTTAATCTCTGCGTTCGTCTAAATGTCAAAAAATTCAATTTTTTTGAGAAAAATCAAAACTTTTCAAAAAATATAGAGTGTATTAAAAATTCCTGGAATATATATCGAGATTTTAACCCAATTAATAATATTCTAGAATATTTCACATAACCGTTTAAAAGTTTAGTCTCTGCGTTTGTCTAAATGTCAAAAAATTCAATTTTTTTGAGAAAAATCAAAATTTTTCAAAAAATACGAAATGAATTAAAATTTCCTGCAATATATATCGAGATTTCAACCCAATAAATAACAATCTAGAATATTTTACATTGCCGTTTAGAAGTTTCCTCTCTGCGTTTTTCTAAATGTCAAAAAATTCAATTTTTTTTAGAAAAATCACAATTTTTCAAAAAATTACAAGTGTATTAAAATTTTCTGAAATTTATATCGAGATTTTAACCTAATTAATAATATTCTAGAATATTTCAGAAACCCATTTAAGAGTTTACGCTCCACGGTTGTCTAAATGTCAAAAAATCGCTATTTTTCGGTTTTCCTAGCCTAAATTCTATATTACTATATAAAAACCTTTCCTAAAAAAGAAAGTTCGAGAAAAATCGAAGAACTAGCTCGAAACTCTATTTCTATTGAAACTCGAATTCTCTCGAAACTTTAGAGATATATCGATATTACGTCATCACAGAACTTTCTTAAAAAAGACTACGCACGCGTGAAATGCAGGATGACGTCAAACCAAGATAGAAAGATGGCCACTGTTTGTTTTCTTTTGGAATCTCATTTTATTTTCGGCAAATAATTGTTTTTTATTATTATAATATAAATAAAAGTATATTAAATATTTTTTAATTTTGTAATTTTTGAGCTGCGCCTACAATGGAGAAATAATGTGTTGAATGTGTTATGTTGTAGTATTTCTGGTTAGTGCTAAATGTACAAGGTATGCACTTTGTAAACAAATGTAACCTCACTAACTTAGTTACTTAATCGGAACAAAACAAATTTTTTCGAGTACTCGAACGTTTCAAGTACTCGAATTTTTCGAGCAGTCGAGGGAATTCGAGTACTCGAATTTTTTCGAGCTCTTGAGTAAATTCGTGTTCTAGAGAAAATTCATATAATTTTCGCATATATTAGGGGAAAGGTGTACGAGATGATCCCCCTAAGGGAAAAAACCTATTATTCAAAGAAAAATCAACATATTTGAGTTTTTTTGTACGCACTACTAGATAATTAATCTATCTAACTATTCTGATTTGAAATATTTGCAGCTAATTAATATTTTACTATTAAATTTAATTTTTCTAAAACCTTACAAAAGGATCATCTTGGATCCTTAGTGATTTCTTTTAATTTCACGGATAATAAGATAATGTGGCTTACTACTGGGGGTGGCCGAACTTAGTCTCAGTTACCGTTGCATTCGATCGAGAAATCGATCGTAAAAAATCGAAAAAAAACGAGAATAAAAATACATGAAAAACAAATGAATACTTAAGTTCTGTCTCTTTTCTTTTATGAAAGGAGAGATTCTCGAATGCAACACTAGTTACCCTACATAGTTTTAATTCTTTTTTAATGTAGAATCTTATTAAATTGTTTATAACTACAGGTGTCATAGTTGCAAAGTTTATAAATATCAAGTTAAAAACTACTAGTTTTTTAAAATCTATGAGAAATTAACTTTTAAGGGGGAAACTTAGTCACGTGAAGTTAGCATCACCCAGGTGCGAATTGTCGGTCGGCCCATGGTCGGGCCAACCGTTTGCATGGTCGATCCAACTTTGTTAGCCAATGGTCGGGCCACCCTGTGGATTGATCACGTCGGCCGTCCAGTGGTTGACACTGTTGAACCAACCGTTGCACCAAAGTTGGGCCGTCTATGGATGGCAAAGTTTTGCCGATCATGGGATCGAATGGTTGTTATGAAAAATATCGTTCATAACTAGTGCGAGCAGTTGCCAATTTTTGCACGAGCACTTTTTTTGGAACTATACTATATTTGGCATTTTATATTGGCACAAAATAAATAAGAAAATTTTAGGAGCCATCGAGATGATTACCCTAATCAAATTATTTTGATATAAGAAAAAAATCAATTTTTAATTAAGGGCAAAAAATGTGGAAGTTCTTGTTAGCTTTACAATTGAATTTGTGAATCTTACGTATTTTTTAATACATAATTATTTATGTATTCAAGGTTGTGCAATGCTTTCAAGAAAGGAAATAAACTGTCATTGGTATTAAGATTTTTTGCAAAAGGAAACTGGATATTTGATACAGATAATGTTAAATCATTGTGGGAAAAACTTTCTTAGAATGATAATAAAACAATTTAATTTCGACATCACATCCTTTAATTGGGACGTGATGATAAAAACTAATTGTCTTGGACTTAAAAAGTTTATTTTAGAAAAGGATTTAGATGCAGAAAGACAACAAAGAGCAGTGCGTAAAGTAGAGAGGTAACAAATTTTATACATAAAAGAAAATATTTACCCAAAAAATATTTATATATTCATAAAAATAGGAATACTACTTTAAAAACTAATTACATTTTTAATAACATTTCAGATTATTCTATGTTCATCAAGTCGTGCGAAGCACATTTTATGCCTTTGTCTTGTGGCTTGTTTGGAAAATTTATAATCTACTAATTAATAGATTATAACTCTGCAGCAAAGTCACATATTACGTATTGGGCCCTCTCTCCTTAGGTCTGTGACGTAATATATCAACAATACCTAACTTACCACTTACCACTCACACCTGTAAATCACACCAAAGAATGATTTAATACGATTTTACATTAACAAAGAATTGAAACTATGTATTATGCATTTATTCCCACCAAGAAATTAAATTTTTCATAGTGCAAAATTGTTTCCTCCATTCCATTTGATAAGCTCATTTACTATCCAAAGTTAGGTTTCAGAAGAGTGATAATTATTTTCTGTGCTTTTAGTTCGTCATGACCGAAATTCAACAATTTTACACTGATCAAAGTATATTTATCACAGGTAATTAGTGTACAAATTATGTCTCTAAAATCACAATTGTTAATTTCAAAATGAAATAAAAAATTTTAACTTTTAATATCATAATCTAGGTGGTACAGGATTTTTGGGTACACTTCTTATTGAAAAACTGCTTCGATCATGTCCAAAGTTAAAAACTATTTACATTTTAGCCAGACAAAAAAAAGGAAAACAAATTCAAGATCGTGTTAAAGAAATGACTAATTTACAGGTAAGATATTTCAATATCAAAAAAGTATTTTTTTTTTAAAAGTATTATTGTTTATAATTTTATTTATATTACAATATTTAATTGAATAATAAAAACAAGAATCATTTTAATTCACTATGAAAAATTTTCAACAGATATTTGAACCTCTGAGAGCAATAGATCCAAATTTTGAAAAAAAACTTGTACCAATGTCCGGTGATTTAATGAAACCTAATTTTAAACTTTCTGACAAAGATTTAAAGATAATACAGAAAGAGGTAAATCATATAAAATTCTTAATTTATTAATATACAAATTTTATAAAAAACAGTTCAATAATTTAAAATCTAATGTGAAAAAATTAAAAGTACAGTAGATTTACGATATTATCTAATTTAATTTTTTTTACTGTTGCTAAGGTTTCGATTGTATTTCATGTAGCAGCAACAACAAGATTCGATGAACTTTTAAAGATTGCACTACAAGTGAATGTTGATAGTGTGAAAACTATGCTAGACATCTGCAAAGAATGCAAAAAATTAAAGGTGACCCAACATAAATAAATAGTCTTTTTTCTAATACAACAATTCTATTTCCACACTATTTATGGCATTTTTTTCAAAAACAGGCTTTCGTTTATGTCTCAACAGCATTCAGTAATTGCATTTATGAGCATATTGAAGAAAAAGTATATCCAGCCCCAATGTCGCATGAGGATCTAACCAATCTTGTCGGTGTCATGGATGAATTAAATATGTCCGAAGAAGAAGAAATCGAATTTACCAATTTGTACGTTTAGAAAGAATTATTTTAAATTATCGTATACCACTAATTTTATTTAGTTTTAAAATTACTAAAAACTTAATGAAGTTTATAATAAATATAATAAGTGCTTATGTATTGTAGAAATTAATTTTCAGAATTATTGGCAAGTATCCCAACACGTATTGTTTCTCGAAATCAATTGCCGAAAATGTTGTTAGTAAATATGCGAAAGAACTTCCAGTTTCCGTTTATAGATTTTCAATTGGTAATTTAATTAATTTGGAAATAATTATTTAAGTTGACATTCTAATATTAATATTGTCAATAAGAATAAGATTTTTAGTAGATCTATTTAGAATGATGAAAATTATTTTTTTTCCAGCTCTAGCTGCACTAAAAGAACCTTTAGAGGGATGGTTGGATCCAAAGCAAGCAATAACTCAGACATTAATACGAATAGGTTTAGGCATTATTCGAGTGATATATGTAAATAGTAATGCAACTATGGAAACAGTACCAATTGATTTTGCTTGTAATTGTCTGATTGCTTCTGCATGGGATACATCATCTTGTAAAAAGAAGTACGTCTAGTGCAAGAATATAACCTTAATGCAAAAATCAAAATTATTTTACTATACTTATATAAAACTTAAGTATTAAAAATTTTGAACTTACAAGACAGATATTTATTAACAATTTAAATAAAAATTGATAACATTTTTCTAGTAAACAAGAAAGAATGCAAGTGTATAACTACGTTTCCGGTAGAGACAATCCAGTGACTTGGAGCTATTTACGAAGTTACCTTCGAACTCATCGATATACATTAGCATTGAAGAAGACATTCTATTATCCTGATACATTGTTTATTAAATCCTTGTATTTATTTTTTATTTTCCACTATATATTGCACTTTATTCCAGCTATTTTAGGAGATGTATTTTTAATAGTACTAGGAAGAAAACCAATGTAAGTAAACAAAAATTCATAAAAAGTTAAATGCATTCTCATTTGTCATGGGAATATAAAAATTTAACATATGTAGTTAATCTGGCATCCCTGAAAATTCAGCCAGATGAAACTGATTCTCACATATCGAATTTTTTCATCCTCACACCTTCTGAGCTAAACATACTGTGACAAAAAACTTAAAAATTACAAACTTTTATATCTTAAGGTTGTACGAAGTTTTTAAAAAAGGAACAAAATTGGTATGGGTTATAAGTTTTTTTACAAATGGAGAATGGATATTTGACACAGACAATGTTAAATCGTTATGGAAAAAACTTTCTGAGAATGATAAGAAACTGTTTAATTTCGACATCACATCATTTACTTGGGATGTGATGATAAGAACTAATTCTTATGGAATTAAAAAGTTTCTTATGGACAAGAATATAGATGCTGATGTGCAAAAGAGAACTATGCGTAAAATAAAGAGGTAATAAATTATGTAAAAATAGTCATCTTCGATTATTCTTTATAGTAATAAGAATACTACATTAAGAACAACAATTTGCATTTTGGAATATTTCAGGTTATTCTACGTTCATCAAGTTGTTCGGGGTACATTCTATGCCTCTGTCTTGTGGCTTTGTTGGAAAATTTATAGCTTACTATTCAATAGATTATAACTACAATGTAATTTATTATGCATAAATAATATTATTACTTCTTGCACATTATTTGTATTTTCTTTAATAAAAAGCACTAAAATAATTGATACTTTTTATACAAACAAAAAAGGTTGTTTTTCTTTGGTACCATATCGGATCATTTAGAAAAACTAAAAACTGTTTATTTACCAACAAATTACTTTGCCACTATCTTATCTAGTTACAACCCATTTAATTAAAATCAACTCTTCCATCATTTAAACATAAAATTCTCTGAATAGTTTTATCTAACATTAAAAAATAGAGTTGCTATAATTTCTAACATTAGGCAGTTCATTATGCAAGTCACTTTTTCTAATACACCAGTAAAAATTTTGCATAACAAGTGTCCTTAATAAATTATTAATGAATCGTCGTAAAAGTATTGCTCTTGTTTGTAGAACAACACTGCCGTCCAAAAGAAAAAGATACATAAGCGACATTACCATCAATCCGAGAAAATCAAAGAAAACTTTTTGCCTCCGGAACTATAATTCAAATTAACTTTTATAAAAAAATTTTTGATCAATATTTAATAAAAAAATATTCTGCTTCTCATTATGTAAAAAAAAATTAATTTTTTAAACAATTTCTATTGTAAAATGGACATACGGGTTTCTAGTAGTGATAAATACAGACGAATAAAAGCACAAAGTCGCTTATGTTTATTTCTCGGTAAACTTACTCGAGCTGAGCGGTGCCGTCCAGAGGAAAAAGATACATAAGCGACATAATGTAAAAGAACTAAGCCTGTGTAGTACAATTATCGCTTCTCTTCTTCTGTAAACTCGACTCACTGTCAGACCATTTTACAGAGGAAAAAGATACATAAAGACAGTCGAAAGACAGTCGCTTCTTTTAGTCTGTAAAGTCAGCTCACTCTCAGGCTCCTTTACCGAGTAAAAAGATACATAAGCGACTTTGTGTATCATTTTGTCCTGTAAGTTGGTGACGTATGCAGCGTCGTTTACCGAAATATGAACCCACAAAGAGCTTTATGTATCTTTTAACTCTGTATTTCGTCACTTTTTCCATTTTTGCCATTTTTAAACAATCTTTTTTTGCAATAAATAATTAAATTTTTTAATTCTTTTTTATACAGTTAAATGCAGCTTTTTTTTATGAATCCAATGATACCAAAAACTCAATTTTTTCAAAAATGTCGCTTATGTATCTTTTTCCTCTGGACGGCAGAACAGTGAAACACAACGACAACTGTAAATTATAATGGAAATATGTATCAAACAAATTTTATAATTATGACACTCTTTGAAGAAAGGTACCTAGGAAGTTTTTAGGGGGGGCATCCATTCAAAAAAAATCAATGTAATGTTATCTCTTTCTACCTCATAGGAATATTTGACTCTGGGGGGGGGCAAGTACCCGTGCCCCCCCTGGATCCGCCACTGAGCAAATCATTAAAAGAGATAATGTTTGTGTTATTTTTACCTTCTATTTCCTACAGTTTTTGGCATCTTAGGTACCTTTCTTCGTAGAGCGTCACATTTCAACAGAAATGCATTTATAATGAAAAGCAATTACTTATTTTCTCAACATTATACATAGTTCAAAAACTGCTGCATTACTAAAATTTACGAAGAAATTGCATTGATGTTCCTAGAAACATTATCTTTAATTCAATTAAATATTTCCAATAACTTTAATTTTCATAAATACACCTAAAAAATCTAAATTAAAAAAATTTTACAGATCTCTAGATCTTTGAATTATAGCATAATATTTGCAGTAAACATATCCACTATAACCACTTACTATAGGAAAATTCTAAAAAATGAAACAATTAATTATTCATACATTCCCACCAATAACAAATTAAGTTTTTCATAGTCGATCATTATTGATTCTATTTCAGTTGGTTAGTGCATATCAATCTAAAGTTACGTGTACGATTCGCGATAGTTTTAGTTATTGTGTAATTTAAGAAAATTTACATTAAGCAAACATCAAAATAATAATAAAACAATCATGTCGGAAATACAACAATTTTACAGTGGTCAAACTATATTTATCACAGGTAGAAATTTACAAATTGTTTATTTTTTGAAACCTAAATAAATATCATTATTATTTCTCTCCATTAACAAATTTTATTTTGCTAAAAAATGTTTCATCTTTAAACATATTTATTGTTACCACAACAAATCTGAAATTGCGAAAACGATGTTCTATATTAATATATTAGGCATATATTGCAAAAAAATTAATTTCCTAATCTTGATACAAATCTAGGTGGTACGGGATTTTTGGGGAAAATTCTAATTGAAAAACTACTTCGTTCATGTCCAAAGATAAAAACTATTTACATTTTAATCAGAGAAAAGAAAGGAAAGCAAATTCAAGATCGAATAAAAGAAATTACTAGTTCATTGGTAAGATATTTTTCAAATAAGTTAAATGTAATAAAAGTGTAATGTGGATGTAATATTTATTATAATTATATAAAATAAATAAACAATAGATCCAAGTAACAATTAAATTCACTATCAAAATTTTCAATTATTTGACGACTGAGTGATAGGATCATCATTATTATATTCTTAAACAGATGTTCGAACCTCTGAGAGAAATAGATCCAAATTTTGAGAAAAAAATTCTACCAATGCCTGGTGATGTAATTAAACCTAATTTTGGACTATCGACTGCAGATTTACAATTACTTAAGAAAGAGGTAAATAAACTATAAAATTTTAAATAAATTATGCTGATTAACAAGCAGGGTTCCAACAGAAGGAAATACTTGCAAAGCTCTTTATAATAATGAATCCAGAATTTTTATCAGATCACAAAGAATACTAAATTATTTTTCCAAATTTCTTAATCTTTTGGCTGGAAAAAACTATTTGGAAAAGAAGAAGATTATATGTGAACTTTCTTACTAGTAATATTACATTTTTTGTCAGATCTCATAGGATTTTAATTAAAATTCATAAAACGTTCTATATAAATTTAAAAAAACCCTGCTAGAATAAAATTCTTAGAAAATAATCTTTAATCTTTATTAACAATAATTAATAAGCTTTCTAATATTAATCCATATATTTAAACATTATTAAGGTTTCGATTGTATTTCATGCAGCAGCGACAACAAGATTTGACGAACCATTGAAAATTGCACTACAAGTAAATGTTGATAGTGTAAAAACTATGCTAGACATCTGCAAAGAATGCAAAAAATTAAAGGTGACCAAAAACAGTTTGTAAACTTTTAAAAATTTGTTTTCATATTAAGGGAGCGTTCACAAATGATGTCACGCTTTTGGGGGTAGGGAGTGGGGTCTGACTAAACGTGACACAATGTATTTTTCTCATGTGAAATTGCAAAAATTGCGTGACAAGGGGGAGGGGTTGAAAATCTCAAAAAATTGAGTGACATCATTTGTGAACGCTCCCTAATTATTTATGTCATTTTTTTGTTATTTATAAATAGGCCTTCGTTTACGTTTCGACAGCATTCAGTAACTCTATTTATGAGCACGTTGAAGAAAAAGTATATCCTGGACCATTGTCACATGAGAAACTAACCGATCTCGTCGGTGTCATGGACAAATTAAATATGACCAAGAAAGAAAACATTAAATTCACCAAATTGTACGTAAGAATAATTACTATGTGTATTATTTAAACAAAATTCTAACCATTTTCTCGAATTTTTAAATTAAAACAATGCCCTATAATATTTCATTCAACATTTTAATTTTTTAGAGTAATTGGCAAATTTCCCAACACATATTGTTTTACGAAATCAATGGCCGAAGATCTCGTTAGTAAAAGTGCGAAAGAACTTCCAATTTCTATTTACAGATTTTCAATTGGTAGGAATAATTTTTTTTCCTTTCATTAGATGTATTAATTTTAGAAATCAGTATTTTTTTACTGATTAGAAGAAGAAGAAAAATAATCTATTCATTTTTTCTGCAGCAATGGCAGCTTTAAGAGAACCTCTAATGGGTTGGTTGGATTCGTCACAAGCACTAACACAATCAATTGTAAGAATAGGTTTAGGCATTATTCGAGTGATATGTGTAAAAAGAAACGAAAATATGGAAACAGTTCCAATTGACTTAGCCTGTAATTGTCTAATTGCTTCTGCATGGGAAGCTGCATCTAAGAAAAATAAGTAAGTCTGAAAACAATTATGTACTCAATTCGTTTTCATCTACAATCATGTGCGGACATCAGAAAAGTGGAATTTGCTTACTACAAATAAAATTCACTTTAGTAATTATGACCTCATAAAAAATTGTAGAGTATTACTTCAACATAAAAAATAATTATTCTAATTTTTTAATTCTGTAAACTTAAGTTGCAATCCTTACCTTAAAGTTTACTGATCTTCAAAGTCAACAAAAAACAAAGCTAAACATAAATAAGTGAATTTAAGTTTCGTTAAAACAAATTTTAACACAGAATTAGAAAAAGTTACCTAAGATTTAAATCAGGTGCCGTATTTTAATTGACATTAAGCATTAAAACTATCTTGGTTGTTTGTCGAAATATCAAGTTTAATAAATTTTAAATTAACTGTTACGTTCGTGAAGTTTACAACGTTTATTAAGGATTTAGAAGAAAAATTATTATTTCTGTTAATATTCCTATAAATTTTTGTTCTAAAATAATTTATATACATTCTTGATCAATAATTGAAAAAAATTGTAAACAAACAATGTTATTGTTTACTTCATGAAAAATACATTTTTCTTTCTTTCAAGCATTGATCATAAGCGTTGAGAACTTTCCTGACGTAAATTGTTTAGTGACCAAGTTAACTATTCAAATTGAATGGAAACATTAAAAATACACAATTTCTATATGAAGTTGAATGATTGATTTTTAGGGAATAATTTTCGAATCTGTTATATTCAATATCATGATGCAAATTTTAATGATAACTTAGCAAAAATTTTCTATTTGCCTTTCCAGTAAATATTTATGCAATTAATTTAATTTAAAATGAGTATGACAAAATTTTTACTAAACTCTATTTTCAGTAAACAAGAATTACAAGTCTATAACTACGTATCCGGTACAGATAATCCAGTGTCTTGGGGCTATTTACAGACATATCTTCGAAGAGAAAGATATAAATTAGCAATTATGAAAACAATCTATTATCCTGACACAATGATTATTGAATCCTTGCATTTATTCTTTTTTCTCCACTACATATTACACTTCATTCCAGCCATTTTAGGTGATGCTTCTTTAAGAATATTAGGGAAAAAACCAATGTAAGTGCAATTAATCAAGAATATTCCATATTTTTAAGAAACAGATTGTCTACTCAACGAAATTTTTATTTAATCGTATTTAAATTAACAAAAATTTTTCTTAACAGAATTTTTATTTAAGATAAGTAATTTTTATCTATTTCAATTCTTATTTAAAAGAATTCTAATTTCTGTTCAATTAGACAAGTTAAATTCTTTTGAATTTAAGAAAAAGCATTTATTAACAAAGAAGAAATATTCTGGATAACGTGATTTATATTTTATATCATAATAATAATAAATCTGTTAAATAAGAAATCAGTTGATTAAATATTTAAACTTGTTAAATTTTATTAAATATTCTAATTTGGTTAACATAGAAATTTAATTTAATGAATATTTGAAAACACTGAATTAGAAACCCTGAATTATTTAAAATACTACCTACTATATATATATATATATATATATCTTTGTTGAAATCAACTAACGATTATCAATTATCTACATTATAAAAAGATTAAAAAATTTTGTAAATACTTTTAATTCAGGTTTTACAAGATATTTAAAAAGGGAACAAAACTGGTAATGGTGATAAGATTCTTTACAAATGGAAAATGGCACTTTGACACTGAAAATGTTAAATCATTGTGGAAGAAACTTTCAGAGACTGACAAGAAATTATTTAATTTTGATATTACTTCTTTTACTTGGGATGAATTACTCACAGCTCATTGTTACGGAAGTAGAAGGTACCTCCTGAAAACTGATATGAGCTCAGAAGAACATGAACGAGCTGTTCGTAAAGCAAAAAAGTAAGAATTTTCTTTAAACAGTAAAAAAAAGTCGTTTATTTTATTTTTACACTTTTTTCATAATGAAAAAAGGAATTATTTAAATTGTATCAATTTTTAATTAAAAAATAATTAAAATTGTTTTTTAATTAAAATTAATTACATTGACTTAAAAAATTTCTTAATTAATTATTTAAATAATTTTCTTTTAGCCTATTCTACATTCATCAAGTGGTACGAGGGACATTTTACATTATCGTTTTTTGGCTCATTTGGAAAATTTTCTGTATATTATTTTAATATACACTAAACCATATATTTCAAATGTACAGTAGTAATGTTGTAATAATATTATTTACTATAATAGATACGAAAAATTTTCTACACTAATTCGTATTTTATTTTAAAACTATTAGAAAAAGAAATTTACATTATTTTAGGAAAAACTTTTTGTGTTTTCATAAAATTCTCGTGCGTCAATGTTGCCTTTGAATAATGAATAATTAATGAATTTAAATATTATTGACCTTAGGCTACTTTCACAATCACAAACGAGAAAATTACCACTAACGAATGAAACTTAATTTATAATCTGATTTTCAATTTATTTTTAAATGAAAATGAATATTAACACTCATTGGTGGACAATTATGACAATTTTGGTAAGGCAAAACTTGATAGAGTAGAATTCAAATATTAGGGACGTATTTAAAACTTATCTATTCACAATCAAATGGCCTACGTTGAATATTTGATCTCTCTATAACAGTTCAAAATCATTAATAAACATTTCAACGAATGTATTTAAATCACAATAAATTTTTTTCTTTTCTAATCAACATCAACATTTTGGTGTTCAATTAATTTTTTTTTGTTTAATAAAATAGTTAACAATTTTATTAAACAACAATAATAATTAATTACAAATTATTATGAATTAGTAATATTTTTTCTAAATTCCAATAATTTTCAAAATTTTCAATTCAAATTATTAAAAAAAACCTAGGTACATTATTTTCATTATCTTCAAGAAATTTAAAAAAATTCTTAAAAAAAAATCCAATTACTTGCGAAAACTCTAAAAAATTATTGTTAAAAAGAATTTAATTTTCTGTCAATAATTTTAAGAAAATTTAATAATAAAATGATTGATTACAATCAATAATAACCACCATGATTTTAAAAATTTGAATGAAATTCTTCATAAACGATTATTAATATAGAAGATTATAATATTATAATTGATTATAATAATTAAAAAATTGTCAATGATTTGTTTTGTTTAAAAAAATATTCACAAATTTTATTAAACAAAAAAAAATAATATTGAATATAATATTGTATTTGTTGGTAATAATTAAACCATTGCTATCAAGATAACATTTTCTTTTAAAAATCTGCTATAAATTATTTAAAAATTTTTTTTTATCACCTTAATGTTATTTAATTCAACAAAATAAAATTAATTAATTAAAACAATTGAAAGAATGGTAAAATGGACGGTATATTTTTCTCAAAATACACGAGAATACAAGTCTTAAATATATGCAAACATATTTTTAAAAACTACTTAATAATACATATTTCTAGGACGGCATTGTTTTATCGTTCTCACGACCATTAAATAACTACATTTTTTTATAATAATACAGTAGTAAATAAAAAAATATATAAAAAATATGAGAAATAATTCGCAGTAATTACAAATGTAAGATTTATGTACACAGTTGATTTTTTTATACACTGAAAATACTATTTGAAATTTATCAATATTAAAAAGAAAATGTTCTTTAACAATTAGATACAAAAATTCTTTGGAAATTGTAGAAAAAATTCTTTCGAAATTATAGAAAAAGTTCTTTAAAAATTAAAGAAAATTTTCTTTTATAAAATTGAAAAATATTCTTTTAAGATTAAGACAAGTAAATTATTAAAGGAAGTACATAATTAAATGTTATGAATTAAAGTTTAATTAATGAAATTATTAATTAATTAAAACTGATTTAAACCTTACATTTTACAGGTAATCTTCAACTGTTTTGATCTGTCGTCATGAAAATTTTGTCATTTAAACGTCATGTTTAAAAATATTTCAATTTAAAAATTAAGTGTTTAAATTTAAAAGTTATATTTATAAATCTAAATAATATCTGATAATATAATAGATATTTTAATAAAAAACAAGCTTTCGATAAAAATTTTCAAATACTAAATTGATCAATGATTCTATTTCTAAAATAAAATTTTCATCTATTTTAAAAGATAAAAAATTTTCTAATATGTTCAATGTCTTAGTCAAATATATTTAATAATATGTTTAAAACATATTATTAAAGTTCAATTTCAAAAATTTTATAATTTTATAAACTAAAACAAAATCTAAAAGAATATTAATATAGAAATAATGAAACAGATTTAGAACATAAAAAATTAAATAAAATATTTCAATTTCTAAATCTAGGAAAGAACATACGATAGAAATTATTTTCTTCGTAAAATTTACAAAAATTAGGAAAAAGTTTAGACATTTGTTAAATTTTTGTTATCTCTATAAAGGACAATAGTCCCGTAAAAAATTTTCTTTAACAAAATTCGTATTTTCAAACGTAAAAGGATATTTCCCTTTATCCACAACAATTTTATAGATATTTATCATCTCTTCATAATTTATGGACGGATTGAGAAGTGCGTTAGTTTTTATAAAATTATTTGTATAAATCGAAAAATACTTAATATTATATGAGATTCTATAATGTACATTGAGAAAAATATGCCATTGATTCAATGTCATATTCTTTTCATTGTATTCCTTTTCAATACTAAAATACTACCTAGAATTTTGTTTTTCAAAATTTAAAAATATGTGATATGCACATTTTTTTGTGAACACAAAGTCGGTCATTTGATTTCATTCAAAAGGAATAAAAAAAAATATATTTTCTGCAAAATAAAAAAAATGGTTAAAAAGTAAGCGAGTTAAAATTATTTTCCTTACTGTTTTTTGTGAAAGAAGAATAAAATCTTCTTAAAAATTTTTTGACTATAGGTTTTTTTTAATTGACTGGCATTGTTGATACTGTACTGTGCGGTGTTGTTGGTCGAGAACCAGCAATAGAATGCGTCGTCGATGCATTTAGAGACTGCATAGTTCCAATCTGTAAATAAAAAACAATTAACTGACGTTCATATTTAAATTTTAAAAATAATGATAATAAAAATAACAATTGAGCAGAATAATAATAATAGTACAAATAAAAAGAATAAAAAATAGGGAATTGAATTATAAAAAATCTATTCAACAAGTAAAAAGAATTGAGAACAAAAATTGACAACAAAATTTTAGAATAATTGTTTTTAGTAACTTACTCTTAAATGTGCCAAATCCTCTAATTTGGTCAAATCACTGAGCTCAATGTACAAGGAATAAACAATGAGCCATCCATAAATCGAAGCAATGGAAAATATTGTCCAAAGAAGGCACATGGTTACATTATAACCAAATATTAAATCGTTAACGACACTGTAAAATATATACATGAGTACACGACCACCTGTGAAGATCAAAAATGACCAAATCCAAGGAACCATTTTTTTCTCATGTTCCTTTCTTAAAGACTTTATTAAAATAATTGATGTTGCAAACACCACTATTCCTCCAATTATCGAAAACATAGCAAACACCAACAGCGCATTTCGAACTGTAAAAGAAAAATTATTCACTTTAAATCAGTCTGATAAAGAAATATTGAAATATTTATTAAAATATAAATCAACAATATAGGCCTCGATTCGACTTTAAGGACCAAAAAAAATCGCTTTAGTCAATTAAAAATAAAAAAAGACGTTTATTTAATTCAGTTTTGCCACAAAAATTTTATTTTTTATTTTCCTGACCTTTCACTGATTTCTAAATTCAATTATTCAAAACCTGAATTATTTTCTTAATAAGTATTTAAATACTCATTTCTTTTTCCATGGGAAATAAAATTTTTAAAATTTCAATTTAAAACCTTCTGAAATTTAATAATTTTTAAAAACTACAACTATAACGCTTCCAAAATTTAATTATTTTCTACAATTTTTAACTAAACTTCAACTCTAAATCAATTATTTTTAATAATATTACGAAACTTCTTAGAGAATTCAATTATTTAAATTGTACAAAAATTCAATTTTTAAAATAATTGTAACTGTTATAGTCTATGTTTTTTGAAAAGTTTTTTTTTTTTTTTTTTTTTTTTTTTTTTTTTTTTTTTTTGTTTATTTATAATATTTTCCAAAAATTATAATAAAGAAATTCGTAAAATTAATTTTTTTAAAATAATTTTTGAAAGATAATAGTTTTTCAATGATGTACAATTGCCAAATAAAAAAATTAAAATTGGGTAAAATCTTCAAATTTTAAATAAAATTGACACTTGAAGATTTTTCATTAAAATTTTGGAGAATTCAATATTATTTTAAAAATTTGCAATTAAAATTCTTCAAAAGTTGATTTTTAGGAATTATAATAAAATGCTTGCAAAGAATCAATTTTCAAAGTTTCAATTATTTAAAAATTTTTTAATTATTTTTTTAAAAATTTAATTAACTTAAAAAAATTATTCAAAAGTTATTTTAAAAGCTTTGTCTACTTATAATTATTTTCCACAATATAAACATCGAAATAAGTTGCATTTTATACTAAAAATGCGGTATTTTGTTACAATATTTGTAAGAAAAGTCGAAAAATTCGCAATTTTTGAAAATAAGTCGAAAAAAGTCGCTCGTAAATCTTTGAAATAAATAAATAAAAATTGAAATATAAAATTACTAATGTCTAAAATTTATGCTCTATTTTCTAATAATTTTGGTAAATAAAATTTTTACCGTGACGATTTCCAACATAAACAAATTCGTACGATATAAATCTGTAACCATAGTGGGTAACTCCTGGAGTTGCTTGTGCCAAGCAATAAATATCAAAAATTTGAGTAAAAACAGTAAATATTGAAAGACACTGAAACAGAAAAAAATATTTCGATTTTATTTAAACAGAAAGGAAAAATTATGGAACGTACAAATAAAAGGAAATTAATTATTCAGAAGTAGAAAATTATGGAATATTGATAAAATGAATTAAAAGAGTGAATATTGATAAAATTATCTCAAAACAAAAAAAAATTATTAAAAATAAGAATTATTCTAATGAAAAAAAAATTACCTCAGGTTCAAAACGTTCAAATGAACAAAATTTATTTATTTTATCTTTAAATTCTTATTTTATTATTGCAATTATATAGCGTCACGTATTCAAAAAATAAATTCTAAAGATTCTAAAAGTTTAATTTTGTTTTTGCTTTTTACAAGTCAGTAATTTTTGAAACTATTAATGATGTTAAGAAATTTCGTTCATTCGAACATTTATAATTTGAGGATCGTAAAAAAATTGTGGAATATCGATAAAACTAATTACTCTAAAAAAGAAATTATGAAATATTGATAGAATTATAATTATTTCAATGAAGAAAAATATGATTAACTATTAATAAAATTATTCCATAAATGTATTAAATAACAATAGTTACCAGCGAGTATATTGCTGTCACCATAGAAGCTCTTTGAATATTTAGAATATAAGCATGAGTCAAAACTCTTTTTCGATACCATGGTATTTTAACACTTCGTACTGATCTTGTTGATCTAAGATTAGCATTACTGCGACTCGTAACATGTGAATAAACAGATGGTGTTCCCATACTGGGCGATTTTTTCCCGTAATTCATTTTGATGAATCTAAAAAAATAAATTCTAATCATTACTTGTTAGCTACTATGTCCTGTAAAATAAAAATCACCGTTCATTATGTAATTATACGAATTAATTCATTTTGCTTATTTATTACTGTGACACTATTACTATTAACAAAAAAAGTAATTATCATATCAAAGAATCTTAATAAACTTTAAATAATAATTTAATAACTAAAATAATATATTTATAATCATATTTCAACTATAAATAAAGTGTATAACCATTTTCAAACTAAAAATTCCAAAAATATTTCAAAAACATACAATAAAGATGATTCCATGTAATAAGAATGTCATTAAATTCCATATAATTTAATGTCAATTAAACAAATCACATAAACAAACACTTTCTAATAAAATACTATAAAAAAATTTTTTTTTCACTGCCACACTTAGAATACAAACACTTTTTTAAAAACAGTTAAAGAAAGATGCATAGTTAACAATTTTCTTGGCAAAGTAAGTAAAAAATAAGTGATTAATTAAAAATTAGAGTGTGTCATGTGTCACACCCACCATTCAATAACGAATTCATTATTATGGAGGTTACTTTAATTTTATATACTTATAATATATTACCTTCTTTTATTTTATTGAATAATTTTAAACTGTAGAAAATTTTTTAGTCTCAATCCAATAAAAGGAACATTTATTTTTGTTCTTTATGTTTATAAATAAAAAAAGAAAAATGTTTACTTTTTGACAGCTTACAAACGGGCACACCTAAATCGATGACTAAGTGAATACAAATAGAAATGTAACAGCATTGTTGTGTTTGGAATTTTAGTTCTAAAAATCGTCACCAGCGGTACAAACGTTTCGGAAAATTAAAAATTTAATGTAAAATAAATTTGTTCTTAATAAAAAAATTGTAAGAATATAAAAAATAAACAGAATAAAATATTTTTGTTTAGTTAAAAATTTATTGTAAATCAAATTTTTCTAAACTTTTAAGTTTTATATTTTTAGAAAATGAATTAAATGTTTAATTAACAATTAGTTAATTAGTGGAACAAATTATATTTTTTAAACTCTTAATTAATTTTTAATTTAACAATAATCTGACAAATTTTTTTTTAAAAAATACGATTTTTTAATTATTCATAAATATTAGACTTATTATTTATTATTTTATTATTAATATTTTACTATTAGTGATTATTTAAAAAAACAAAAAAGATTTAAAATGTAATAAAAAAATTTTTCTAAAACTTACCTGTCGCTATAAAATTATTTTCTCGTAAAAAAACTTTTCACACTTTTCAAAACACAAGAATTATCAACTTCACAATTAAATTTTTTTCTTTTTATAATAATTTTCAAAGAAAATATATTGTATTTGTAAATCGCGAAAAATAAAGTAATTTTCAGAAAGATAATTTCTTCTAAAAAAAGTTACAAAATACCAAAATCAATTGTTTTTTTTTATATTTTCGACAAATTCAGTAATTAACAAATTCAATAATTAACAAATTCAATAATGAGTGATCTCATTCAATTATTGTCATGAATCTAAATTAAAAAAAGGGGGAGCAAATATTATGCGATAGGTCAGGGAGAGTTTGAAAATTATTTGATGCTATTTGTAATTTATGGAATTAACCAAAATATTGTTTAATTCAAGAAAAAATGATCTCGAAATATAACAGATAATTTGAACGAATGAAAAATGTCTTAATTGTAATAAATAGAACCACTAACTATTCGATGAATCCCACGTCGGAGAGTTGATTATTCGGACGATTTCATTACCTTCCTGTCTTTAGAACAGCAAACCAGATCTAATCTTTCCTCCAAAAATATCGTCGTCCTGCCTTCGATGATCTTATTCTTCTCTCCATTCTGATCTTTTTTCGATGAAAACACTCACTCACAAACACACGATAAAATACGCCAATTTAACGAAAGAAATTATATAAACCACACGTCACGAGAATTTAAAGAATAATTTTTAATATTTATTAAAAATACTTTGATTAATAGAAGAAATGTGAATTTATGCAAGTGACACCGACAGGAATTGTCCACATATCGCGTATACAATAATTATACATTAGCTCAGAAAAATAACAAATTTTACTCTATTTCCCATATATGTTAATATACGTTATAACCGGAGTACTTTACAAATCACGAAACGCGCACATTTTTTGTTAAATTATCACTTTTAAATACAGAAAAATGTAAGAATAACAATGTTTAGAAACAACTATTTCGACGCCATTTTGTTACAATGACACTGGCGAGTTTTCCACCAATCACACGCGTTCTTGACTTCTGTGAAGTCTACTTGCGCGCCATCTGTCTGCAATCAACTGAAGTTGACCAACAATTAGATTTTACTTTACAAACGGTTAAACATTTTTAAAATAACGGTTATTTCAGCAGTACGATATTCGAAGAATAAAATAATCGACTTTTTACCGAATATATTAAAATTTTGTCAACAACAAGTTCACACGAATTAGAATTCACAACTTCTCAACCGGGGAAAAAAATTACAAACTTTTATGAGACGAAAAATAAAAAGAGACTTTACGATTCGGCCACGAATTTATCAAATTAATATTAATAGAATTCAGAGTCGAAAGGGTAAAGTAGAGGCTTTCTGATTTACTTTACGTTTATGAATATAAATCTATAGAATAAAGAAAACACGACTTGAAAGTATTATGATACTAATAGATTGAATAGAGAACGAAAATTAGAAACAGCGAAATGAATAGACAACAAATAGACTCGATAATAACAGTCTGCAATTTTCCATGTTTACCTCTACTTACCCCGTCGAGCTCCGAACAAATACTGACGCTGCTCGTCGTTCCGCCGTCGATGATTCCGTTTAGACTGTATCCCATTGGATGAGAGCTAACCAATGAGAAAGTGTGACAAAAGACGCCAGGGAAGGGGTAACGAATAATCGAAAACAATCGAATAATACTAATCGATTATTGTTAACTCGTAAATATCGGTAAATCTACGTAATAGATACACTTTCCGATTGTAGCGCTCAATATGTGGTGACAATTTTATGAAACAATGTTCTCTTTAAAATGCGAGACTTTATTTACTTTCTTGAATGTAGCAGTTTCCTGATCTGTTTATTATGACTGTGTGTGTGATGCTTGAAGAAGTGGTGCATTGCCTTTTGTTTAAAATAATAAAATAATAAATAAATGCGTATTTAAATAATTATTAAATATGGAAGTAGACGAAGTAGCAAAATTAGAGCATTTGTCTCTCGTATCAAAAATATGTACAGAATTAGAAAATCATTTAGGAATTAATGATAAAGATTTAGGTAAGTAACGCTCATAACCTAATTTATTAAATTTACTTTTTATTTTACTTTTCCCATTTCTTTTTAAACAAAAAAATATTCATTTTATTAATATTCAATTTGTTTTACAATCACAATTATAATTTATTATCGCAATCATTACTTTAAAAATAATTAAATTGTGATTGTCATGAATTGTTTTGAACGTTAAATGCACGATTTGTTTCAAAGTCACATTTTCTATTTACAACGTATACAAAATTATCAAATATTAACTTTAAAATACAATTTTACGTACTCTTTACAATAATAAATTATAAAAATAAATAAAAATATAATATTAATTAAAATTATTACAATGAATTATTATTGATATAATAATAATTTATTATTATTAATTAAGGGATTAGATGCTATAAGGGCTTAATTATAATTATTAATTATTATAATTATAATTATTGTAATTAATAAAAGTATAAAAATTTAATAGAACTTCGTTTATACTCCAAAACGAGTTAAAATAATTATAAAACAAACGTTTACATATCTGATTTATTTAAATTATTTAATTTCTTTGTTATTGTTTATTATTTAACAAAGATTTGTATTTATTCTATACGTTAATAAAATTAATAATCTTTGTATTTATTAATTTCAGCTGAATTTATAATTCATTTATCGGAAAAGAATAGTACTTTTGAAGGCTTTAAAAAAGTATTGAATGAAAATGGAGCGGAATTTTCTGTGAGTAAACAAATATTTTTCAGGGTTGCCACAGGTCAGGGAAAAGTCATTTAATGAAGTATTTTTTTTTAATTTTAATTTCAATTTTAATTTTAATATCAAAATTCTTTTCAGAAATTCAATTATTATTTTTAAAAATTAAAAAAAAAATTCTCTTTAACATTTTAATTATCTTTATAAATAGCAAAATTATTCGTCAAAATTCAATTATATTCAAGAATAATAAAATTCATTGCAAAATTCAATTATTTTCATAAATAACAATATTCAACCCAAAAACTCATTTATTTTGAAGAAAATAATTTTACAATTAAAAATATTCGTAAATAAATATAGTAGTAAATTTTTTTGAGTATCATAATAATTTTTAAAGTGAATCAAAATATTCTTTAAGGTCAGGGAAAAAGTCAAAGTTTTGTCTGTAAATCAAGGAAAAATAAAATTTTTGTGGCAACCCTGTTTTTATACACTTCTCTAGTTTCAAAGGAAAAATTTATTAACTTGAAAAATTTCAATTTTAGGATTCCTTTGTACAAAATCTGTTAAGAATAATAAAACACATGAAACCAACACCTGCACAAGCATCACCACCAGCAAAATCGAGAAAAGATGAATTATCAACAAAATTTCCCGGCTTAGCACTACCAAATGAAAGGCCAGATGAAAAAATTTCTAATGATGATGATGATGATGATATTATTAACCAGGCAATGGCGTCATTAGAAGCATTTGCACCATCCAGCTTAAAAAATAATAACACTAATAGTGAATTAAATGAAAATAAAAGCGAGAGGAAAAGAAGTCGCTCACGAGATCTCAAAAGAAATAGATCAAGATCACCCAATCAAAAACAAAAGAGACACAAAGGTAGATCTCGTTCACGTCATAGATCAAGATCAAATTCACGTTCCCGACGACGTTCAATATCAAATTCTCGTTCTCGACGACGTTCACGTTCAAATTCCCGATCACGCAGGCGATCCAGATCACGGGACAATAGGCGAGAAAATACATCACGAGAAAGAAGAAGACACAGATCACGGGAACGTAAACGTTCACGTTCTGCCAATAGAAAATCAAGAGCAGACGATCGCAATAAAGAATCGAGACGAACGAAAAAAGATGGTGAACGTTCAAGATCACGTTCCACTGAAGAATTATCAATTGATCCGGAAATTGGGAAAATTTATCCCGGTAAAGTGGCGAATATTGTGCCTTTTGGCTGTTTCGTTCAACTTGAATCATTGAAACGTCGTTGGGAGGGTCTTGTTCATATTTCACAATTAAGAAGAGAAGGTCGTGTTGCAAGCGCAAGTGATGTTGTGTCACGTGGTCAGAAAGTACTCGTTAAGGTTCTCAGTATAAGCGGACAGAAAGTGTCATTGAGTATGAAGGATGTTGATCAAGATACGGGACGTGATCTCAATCCAGTGATAAATGTAACAAGAACCGAGGAGGATGAGAAACATTTGAGGAATCCTGATCGTCCTACATCTCTCTTGGAACTACAGGCGAATGATGACGAGGACGAGACGTATTCTAGAAAACGAGTGCAAAGACTATCATCACCTGAGAAATGGGAAATTAAACAAATGCTTGCAGCAAATTGCATTGATAGGTAAATTATTCGTCACTTATTTGACCTATTTTCATCGTTTTTTGCCTTTCATCGATTTGGAAATTCTATTTATCATTAAAATATTATGTTCTAAACGTTCAAATTAACGAAATTTTTTGATGAAAATTACTGATCGTCTTAAAAGCAAAAAGACAATTAAACAATTTCAATGTTTATAATTTTTTCTAAACTTGACGCAATTTCAGGGCTCGAACTAAGTCCGTAAATTTACTTGAAGTCCGTAAAAGTTAGTTTTTTTTAAAAAAAAAGGTCCGTAATTTAATTGAAAAAGGACGAAAGGTTCGTAAATTGTACGATATAATTGAAAGAACTTTAAAGAAATTACAAATGATTGCAGAAATTTAATTATATTCAAAAGTAATAAAATTGTTCGCAGAAATTCAATTTGTTCAAAATTTTTTTTAAAATTCTCGTCCGAATTTCAATTATCTTTATAAATAATAAAATTCTTTTCCGAAATTCAATTATTTTCAAAAATTTTAATACAATTCTTGGCAAAATTTCAATGATTTGAATTATTTTCAATCATTTTCAATTATTTTCCTCAATTCAGTGATTTTCAATATCTACTGTTTTAATAAAATTTTCCAAAAGAATTCAATTACCTATTTAAATTTTTTTTAATAAAATTCTACGCAAACATTTAATTATTTTCGTAAAATAATAAAAATTTCACAGAAATTCAATTATTTACAAATTTTTTATAAATTTCTTCGTAATAATTCAATTATTTTCAATTTATTCAATTATTATAATAAAATTTTTACAAGATTCAATTATTTTCATAAATAATAAAACTCATTGCAGAATTTAAATTATTTTTAATACAATTTTAATCGAATTTTATCGAAAAATTTAATTATTCTTAAAATTTTTTATTAAAATTCATCCAAAGAATTCAATTTTAAGAAACATTCAATTATTCAATAAATTATTTAATTTTTGTATTTAAATAATTGAATTCTCTTAGAATTTTCTAGTAAAAATAGATTTGAAAATGAATTTCAGTTAAAATTCTAGAAATAATTGAATTTTGAAAAGGTTGCCAATTATAATCTTTCAAAATTTGAATTTTTCATATTTTTAACTAACAATTCTGTGGAATTAATTTTTTTTGAGAAACTTTAATTGTGGATTATTTTTTTAATTATTTAAAGTTTTTATTTTCTAATATACATTTAATTGAAGAATTTTCGAATAATTAAACTTTTGTAAAATTGAATTATAAACAAATGAATTTGAAAATTATCAAAGAACTTTTTGAAAAAATATTAAAAATAATGGATTTATAGAAGAATTTTAGTTAAAAACACGAAAAAAAAATTGAATTTTGGAGAAGATAGAAATTATTGCAGAAATTCAATTATTTTCAAAAGTAATAAAAGTCTTTGCGAAAATTCAATTCTGTTCAAAAATTTTTTAATTCTTGGGAATTCAATTAGTTTTAATACAATCTCAATAAAACTCAATAATCAAATTTTTAATTGTAAATATGAACAGACATGATTATTTTAAAAAGTTGAAGAACATTGTTTATTTAATTTAATTATTTTCAAAGTTTTCAATTAAAATTATTTAAAAAAAAACTAGATACATTACTTACAAAAAACTTGAAGAAAATTTTTCAAAAGAATTTAATTATTTAGAAAAGCTCTAATGAAATTGTTTAAAAGAATTTAAGTATCTATTCTTTAAAAGCATTCAATTTGATTTCAATATTTTAGTAAAATTTTTTTAATCAATTAAATTTTTTTTTAAATTTTAATAAAATTTAATAATTAAATGTTTAATTTCAATTATTAAAAAATACGATTATTTAAAAAACTTGAAAGAAATTCTTAATAAAATTCATGTACTTTGAAAATTTCCCATTAAAATTATTAAAGAAACTCTATTATTTTCAACTAATTCAATTATTTTAGTCAATAATAAAATTCTTCGCAGGGAATTCAATTATTTTGAATACATTTTCAATAAATGATTTTATCACTGGGCCTTCTTTAATTATTATAAAACATGAAGAAATCGATGACTTAGAGTCGAAGACTCGGAGTTATTGATATCTTCATGTTTTATAGTTATGAAAAATTTAATTTATAGTTTTAATTAAAAATATTTTAGGGACATAAAATAATAGCTAAAATAATTAAAATAATATTTCTGTATCTTATTAATTTATCTATTTAAAAAACACGATTATTCCTTTTTGTAATAATTTCCGGTTTGCAAATTGTATAATTATAAATAATAATTTTGCGTAAGAATTAATTAGCAATGAAAATTAAATAGAATTTCTTCTAAATAAATAAATTAATGAAATATTTACTTTATAATTATGACTTTTTAAATTTGCAGGAGCGAACTACCGGAATTCGATATGGAAACAGGACTTTTACCACGTGACGATGATGAAGATGAGGACATAGAAATTGAATTGGTTGAAGAGGAACCACCCTTTTTACAGGGTCATGGTAGAAGTTTGGGTGACTTGAGTCCAGTGAGAATTGTCAAAAATCCTGATGGATCTTTGGCACAAGCTGCGATGATGCAAAGTGCATTAGCAAAAGAAAGGCGGGAACAAAAAATGCTGCAAAGAGAGCAAGAAATGGATTCAGCACCAACGGGAAGTCATAAAAATTGGATTGATCCCTTGCCAGATGGTAAAAATAATTCTTTTTATTAAAAATTCTTTTTTATTTTTTTAATATAGCATTATTTATTTTAATAAATAAAATCTAATATAATTGTTAATATCTAATAATTAGAATTTTAAATTTGTACAATTATTGATTTACTTTTATGATAATTTATTGTTAATTGATAAAGTATTGATAGTTTTTGTATTATGAACTATTTGCAATTAGTTTGTTAACTTTTATTTGTAATTTTCAGCTGAAAGTCGATCGATGGCAGCTAACGCTCGAGGTATTGGTCTTCAAACGCAAGATTTACCGGAATGGAAAAAGCACGTAATTGGCGGTAAAAAATCATCGTTTGGAAAGAAAACGAATTTAACATTATTGGAGCAGCGTCAGTCTTTGCCAATTTATAAATTACGTGATGATTTAGTAAAGGCAGTGACCGATAATCAAATTCTCATAGTTATTGGAGAAACGGGTTCGGGAAAAACAACGCAAATAACTCAATACTTAGCGGAAGCTGGTTTCACTGCTCGTGGAAAAATTGGTTGCACACAACCCAGGTATTTTTACACACAGTCTAACTTCATTTATTTCTTCCATTTTGTTTTATTTATTTTATTTAATTATATCAAATGAAACTTTTATTTAAAAGTGAAAAATTCCAGTTAAAAAACGTTTTATTTTAATTTTACATTTTAATTGAGTTATTTTTGTCGATTATTAGTAATAATTATTAAGTTGATAATTAAATTAACTTAGTTATTAACTATTAGTAGATAATTTAATTAACTGTTGAAATTTATAACTTATGTATAATTTTCTATTTTTCAATAAAGGCGTATAGCAGCAGTTTCGGTAGCGAAACGAGTGGCTGAAGAATTCGGATGTCGTATGGGTCAGGAAGTTGGTTACACAATTCGTTTCGAAGATTGCACTGGTCCAGAGACAAAAATAAAGTACATGACAGATGGTATGTTATTGAGAGAATGCCTCATGGATCTCGACTTGAAAACGTATTCCGTTATTATGTTGGACGAAGCTCATGAACGGACAATACATACCGACGTTTTATTTGGACTTTTAAAACAAGCTGTCGGCCGAAGACCAGAATTAAAACTTATTGTAACCAGTGCTACCTTGGATGCTGTGAAATTCTCTCAATATTTCTTCGAGGCACCAATTTTTACCATTCCCGGCAGAACATTCGAAGTTGAGGTAACAAATTCTTAATTTCTTTCAATTTTTTTTTCTTTTTTGTTTCCTTTTTTCAATAATTTTTTTTTAAATGTTTTGAATTTTTTTTAATATTAATGTATTGACAGTCATTGAAATCTAACGGAGAATTTTATCAAAAATTTTGAAAATAACTGAATTCTTTCGAAGAATTTATCAAAATTTTTGAAAATAATTGATTTTTTCGAGAACTAAAAATTTTGCAATTTATTTGAATTTTATGAAAAATTTCTTTCAAATTTTCAAAATAATCGGGTTTATTAATATTTGTAATTAATAACTTTATTATTGAATTTTATTAAAATTATTGATAGGAAATTAAATTCATTTGAATTGTTTTCATAAATAATTTAATTTTTTTGAAGAAGTTGTTGAAAATAATAGTTTTTTTTAACAATTTTAATTGAAAATTATAAAAATATTTAAATTTTACAAAGAATTTCTTTTAACTTTTTAAAATAATCGCGTGTATATGAATAATTGTAATAAAAAACTTGATCATTGAATTTTCTAACAAATTTTTGGAAATAATTCAATTTTTTCCAAGAATTTTATTACAACTTTTGAAAATAATTGAATTCATGATAAGAAATTTATTATTAATGAAAATTATTGAATCCTTTAGAGAAATTTTAGTAAAATTGTATTGAAAAGAATTTTATTACATATGAAAATAATTCAATTCTTGCGAATAACTTTACTATTTATTTAAAAATAATTGGATTGTTTCGAAGAATTTTATTAAAATTTTAGAAAATAATTGACTTCAGTCGAAAATTTTTTAACAAATTTTTAGGAAATAATTGAATCTTTTCGTGAAATTTTATAAAAATTGTGTTGAATATTGGAATTGAATTTTCAAAACTAAAAATAATTGATTAAGAGAAGAAATTTTAATTAAAATTAAGAATTCCAGAAAATAATTGAATTGAAATATTAAAAATAATTTTGGAGAAGTTGCAGTAGCTATTTTACAAATTATTGACTTTCAAAATGATTGAAATTTTTAATTCATGTGGAAAAATAATAATAATGATGAAATATTTATCTAAATAAACAATTGATGTTTCGAATAATTTTACAATTCACAGATATTCACAAATAAATATGTATTACAAACTTTTTTGTGTATCTAAAATAATTTTTAGAGTGAATCAGAATATTTTATAGAGTCAGGGAAAAAGTCAAATTTTTGTCTGCAAATCAGGGAAAAGAATAAAATTTTTGTGACGACTTTGAATTATTTATTATAAAATATTATTTAGTACATTTACAATTATTGGTTGTTTAATTATTTAATTTATTTACATTATTTAATTTATTATTTATAATATAATAATTTATATTTATTTTATTTACAATTGATTATTTAATTCTTTTTATTTAGATTATGTACACGAAGGAGGCAGAGACTGATTATTTGGACGCCTCATTAATAACAGTTATGCAAATTCATTTGCGTGAACCGCCCGGCGATATACTTTTATTTTTAACCGGTCAAGAGGAGATTGATACTGCCTGCGAGATTCTTTACGAGCGCATGAAATCATTGGGCAAGGATGTGCCGGAATTGATAATTCTACCCGTTTATTCGGCATTGCCATCGGAAATGCAGACAAGAATTTTCGAACCCGCACCACCTGGTTCACGTAAAGTTGTAATAGCGACAAATATCGCTGAGACAAGTTTAACTGTCGATGGAATTTACTATGTTGTCGATCCCGGCTTTGTCAAGCAGAAAGTCTATAATTCAAAAACAGGAATGGACAGTCTTAATGTGACACCAATTAGTCAAGCTGCAGCGAAACAACGCGCAGGCAGAGCCGGAAGAACGGGTCCAGGAAAATGTTATCGTCTTTATACCGAGAGAGCGTACAGAGATGAAATGCTGCCAACGCCAGTGCCCGAAATTCAACGCACAAATCTCGCTACAACTGTTTTACAATTAAAAACAATGGGTATTAATGATTTACTTCATTTCGATTTTATGGATGCACCGCCAGTTGAATCGCTCATTATGGCATTGGAATCGTTGCACAGTTTAAGTGCCCTTGATAATGAGGGTCTTTTAACGAGATTGGGGAGGAGAATGGCCGAATTTCCCTTGGAGCCGAATTTATCGAAAATGTTAATTATGAGCGTACATTTACAATGTTCTGAAGAAATTTTAACCATTGTCAGTATGTTGTCTGTACAAAATGTTTTCTACAGGTGTGTATTTTTACAATTATTCACTTTTTTCATTTTATTCTATTTTCTTGTTATTAATGAAATTAATTAAATTAAATTAAATACATTAAATTAATTAAATTAAATTCATAAAATTAATTAAATAAAATTCATGAAATTAATTAAATTAAAATTGCTTCTCATAGAGGAAGAATTGTATTTTCTATTTTATTATTCTGTTAATTTTGAGTTTAAAATATTTACATGAATAATTTTTTTTTCAGACCAAAAGATAAGCAAGCGTTGGCTGATCAGAAGAAAGCAAAATTCAATCAGGCTGAAGGTGATCATTTAACTCTATTAGCAGTTTATAATTCATGGAGAAACAATAAGTTCAGTAATGCCTGGTGTTATGAAAATTTCGTACAAATACGAACGCTTAAGCGTGCACAAGATGTGCGTAAGCAATTATTAGGAATTATGGATAGGCATAAATTAGATGTCGTCTCGGCAAGTAAAAATACGGTTCGAGTTCAAAAGGCAATTTGCTCTGGATTCTTTAGAAATGCTGCGAAAAAAGATCCACAAGAAGGATATAGAACTTTAGTCGACAGCCAAGTCGTTTACATTCATCCTAGCAGTGCTCTGTTCAACAGACAACCAGAATGGGTACGAAAAATTACTTTTATACAGAAAAGAATAATTAAATATTTTTTCCTTTAGTTATAAATTTCTTCTACTTCCTATTTTTCAAATATATTCGTTGTTTTATTTTTTCTAATATGCGATAAAATTTGTCTATCTTACTAATAATGATAAATTGATTTTAATTTATGGAAATTTTACTTTACAGGTAATTTATCATGAATTAGTGCAAACGACAAAAGAATATATGCGTGAGGTCACAACAATCGATCCAAAATGGCTAGTAGAATATGCGCCGGCATTTTTCAAATTTAGCGATCCAGCGAAATTGAGTAAATTTAAGAAGAACCAGAGACTTGAACCATTGTATAATAAATATGAAGAACCAAATGCTTGGAGAATATCAAGAGTACGACGACGGCGTAATTAAGAATTCAATTTATGAATATATATTGAAATATATATTTGTTATTTTTAAATTATTAACGAAAATAATAATTTCTGTAAATATATCATTAATTGTAGCGAATACAATACAATTAGCGGAATTTTTGTGCGAAAAATTCATATTTCTATAATTTAATTAAATTGTCAAATATTTCCTTTTTGTAGAGTTCATGATATTATGAAATGATTCTATAAAACAAAAAGTATTGGCACGTTTACCTGTAAATTACATATACAATTTTTTCTAAATACATGTTTAATTCACTATAAAATGTATTAATAATTTTAAATTTTGGAATCATAATTTAAAATTCATTTAATTAAATTAATAACAATTTTTTTATTTTCTAGAAACATTTTCAGGCTTTTCAAATTTATTATTTGAGTGTTATAAATTAAAATTTTTGAAATTTTTCTTAATTATTATTTTATTATTTATTTATATTTTTTAATATTTGATTATTGTAATATAATATTATTTAGTACTTTTAAATTTCTTTACTGAATGAAAGATTAATTAAAATCCTCTTTTTTATATTTATAAATCATATTCAATAATTGAATTTATAAATTTATTTTAATTGAAAATGAATTTCAAAGACTATAATAATATAGTTACAAAAATATAATGAATTTTTTAATGTAAAAATAAAATTTCTTTATTTTGCAAACATTACGAATTTTATTTATTATTGTCTTAAATATTTAAATTTAGAAACAATTATAAATTAATTTACAATAAAATTAATTAAACAATAATTTTTTTATTTTTAATTAAATTAACTTTGAAAAGTAATAAATAATAAATAAATTTTTTATGTAAGAATAATTAAAATAGTTTTATCTTTAAGTTACCAAAAATATTTTTAAATAATTACAATTTACTGAAATAGTAAAAAATTAATTTATAAAAAATATATCTATAATTAATTAATAATTATTATTTTGGCAATAATAATAATAGGTAATAATAATAATAGGAAATAATAATAATAATAATAATAATAATATTAATAATAATAATTATTATGTTATTATTATCTATTTCTATTATTTTTTATTAATTCTAAATAAATATAGGAGTATAATAATAAATAAATAAATTATAGAATAAAAGAAAGAGAATGGTAAATTTTTTTGATTTAAAAAAATATTTATTCCCGCGTTATTTCTTATTGGACAAATTTGTCCAATCAGGTGATCAAAATTTTTTAGCGGTAAAGATAACCGGAAGTTCTGAGTAATTCATCACTCCCATTGGACAATGAAACGTAGAAGAAGGATCTGATTGGCTGTGGGAATAGTTTCACGGCAACTTCCTTCTTCTCCCACATTCCCCTACCCTTGTTGTTCGAGCAGCGCCAACGGACGTTTCATTAGACCGTTGTCTTTGATCACGTAAAAGTTAGTGAAGAAATTTTGTAAATATTTATTGTAAATTTAGTTAATTTCAAGTGTGTTTGACCGTGTGTAATTAAAAACATTCGTTTTTGCCTCCGTAATTAAAATAAAAGAGTCGATTTGCTTTTTAACATTATTTCAATGCGGGCATTTAGGGGTTATGTACGCGCCGCCCGGTAGTAGTTTCTTCCACTTTTTTTGCACAAAACGAAATATTTTGCGTAAAGGTAGAGTAAATATTATTCGCGGAACGTGTTTTCGAGTTAATTTTTTATTGGTGTTGATTAAAAGATGTTTGGATTTCGGTTCGATTGATAAAATGGCGTCATTGTCAATATGCAAAGATCGTAGTCAGGAACGTTTTGTCGAGATTCATGACGGTTGGTTTGTTATCGTCTTGAAATGTGTTACCCGGTCAATTTATTGCTTCTATTTAGCGAAAAATGTTTTCATTTGTGCCATTTAGATATTATTAAATTCTCGATTGCTGAAAGTCATGAAATTATACAAACGATGCATTCGTCTCGACCGATTCATTAATTGCGATTCGTGTAGATTTTTCACGATTTTTTTCCGGGGAATTCGATTCATAGCATATTTTCTATTCAAATTCCGTATAGTAAGCGAATAATATTTTTGATTCTCGGGAAAGTGTTTTTTTATTATTATTCGGTAAAATTGTGATATACGGTAGTGACGTGCTGGTGTTTATTATTGCAATATTAAACCTCCAAAGTATGAATTATCTATTGGAGTTGACATGGACCACAAGGATAAAGGATTTTCCAAGTGATGACATTCTGCAGATTTCATATTTCTTCCACATCTGTTAATGACGAAGCCGAGAGATTTTCTGAGGAATTTTTTGTCTAAGGTAAAGGTCAATGGGAAATTCTATTATTGGCAAGTAATTTTATGTATATTTCAAAATTCTAAACAACATAGTGACAATATTGGTATAATTCAAGTACAAATATGTGTTGTTTTTTTGTTTTCTCTAAAGAAAAGTAGACATTTTTTTTACATATCTGGAACAAAATTTTTCGTTAAGTAAAATTTATCGTTTATTTTTCTACATCAGTATTTTTACATTTTTGTAAGTGATTTAATGCGTTTCTGCTATTTATATTTTACGTTATTTTCATTTCCTGATTTTTCTCGGAAATTTTTTATTTAATTAGAAAATTAATTACTCGGAAATCTTTAAAGAACACAAATATTTTTTACATAAGTTGAAGAATTCAAAAGATGAGTAAATTACATAATAGGAAATATAATCTAAATAAAAAATTAATTTTACATTAGTTAAATTGAATTAATATATTAAATAGCAAATAAGATTAGTTGTTACATGAAATAAATAAAATTAATTATGAAATTAAATAAAGAATAAGAGCTTAATTGTTGAATTTAATATTTATTCGAATGAAAAATCAAAAATTGATTTTCATGTAAGATTTCTAATTGTGGGAATAATTTGTTTAAAGTTTCTCTTTAAAATTTATTTTAGTAAAATTTGTATAATATTTTGATATGAATGAATTTATTATTTCATTGTTTGTAATTTTTTCTGTTAATTTTATGTCACTATGTTGTTTAACATTCAATTTAATTAATTTTCATCCATATTTGTATTTATATGATCAAAGTTTTGAACTTTGAAATGAATGAAATATTTTTCATTCAAAATATTTAGAAAAATTACTAATTACGATAAAAATAAAAAATTTAGATACGTTATTTAAGTTAATAAATAAATTAATTAATTTAGTCAAAACAAAAATAACATTAATTTCTTTAAAAATTAGAAACCTTAGGTATAATTTATTTTTTTTACGTGACACAAAATTATTGTATTAAAATTTAATTTGAAGAAAAACCAAATGAATTTTGTTCATTTCAACGTTCAGAATTTCAAAAAAATATTCAAATTAATTTTTTTAAATCAAATTCATTTTTTTAAATTAAATTTATTTTTTTAAAATTAAATTTATTTTTTTTAAATAATTAAATATCTTGAAAACAAAGTTTTCAAAAACTTAAAATTCTATAAAACTTGGAAAAGTTATTGTATGATTTTGTATTAAAAGTTTGACGTTTTAAACTTTTTTTAGAATTTTTCATTAACTTTTTAAAAGTTTACGATTGCTTACATTAAAATTTAAAATAACAATTTTTTTTTAAATTGAAAATTAACATTTCCATTGGACATTTTGTCTGAAAAAAAATATTTACATTTTCTGTTGACAATATTTGAATATTCGCGTACAAAACAGATAAGTTTAAGCGCATGTGCACCTTGTACAAAATTTAACACGTGACCACGTGGTTTTTTCCCCTTAATATTTGAGGTTAGATTGTTTACGCGTTTCTTTTCGAGGCTTTCGAAGTTTTCAATATTTTTGTAAATGTCAGTGTAAAAATGAAGAATCAAACTCAAAATAGTGATAAAAAACAAAAACGAGTGAAATCGTCAAGGCAGAAAAAAGTTAATTTAGTTTTTGATGAAGAAAAACGAAGGTAGGTGTGAAATAATTAAAAAAAAATACACGTAAACTTTTTGAATAAAGTGTCAATTTTAACAAAAATTTTAATTTTGAAGGCAATTTCTTGGTGGTTTTCGTAAAAGAAAATTACAACGACAGAAAAAGGCGCAGGAAGAATTGCAACAACAATTAAAAGAAGAAAAAAAGAGAATCAAGAAAAATGTAAGTTTTTTTAGAGAAAAATTGTATTTAAGGTTATGTTGCACGTGAAGTTAAAATATTTTTAATTACAAAACTATTTAAGTAAATATTTAAATATAAAGTAAAGAATTACATAATTTTAAAACGTTATTAATTTTTGTTTTGTTAAAATTCGTCTTCAAATTTGAAAAATATGAACATCAAAACATGTAAATAACAATTGTTATTTTGACACGTTTTTATGATCAACAAGTTTTGAATGTTCAAGTGAACGAAATAGTTTTCTTTAAAAATATTTTTCTAAATTATTAATTAAAAATTAAATTCCAATAATTTAATTTTTACTAAAAATTAACTTCATTTGATTAAATTTTAATTCTTCAATGAAGAATTTAATATTTATTAAAACTTATTTGTTATTAATTTATTAATTATTTTTTCTTTTGATTAACAGGCCAAAGACAGTTACAAAAAATGGATTTCTTATCGAGCTGTACCAGAATTAGAGGAACTTTTAGCAAAAAAAGAATATGAAGAGGAAGGACACACTGTGAGCATTTTAGAATTAAAAGTTTCCGATTTGGAGCAACAAAGCAGTTTAATTGGAGAGAATATAGTGAAATATGATGATGACGATGATGATGAGAACAAGAATGGAAAAAATGAAGAAAGTGATGATAATTGTAATAGTAATGAAGTTCCTGGTATGGAAATTGTAAGAAAACCTTTAAAAAAGAAAAAAATCGAAAAAGAATTACCAGAGAAAAAACCAACGGAATCTGGTAAAAATATCAAGAAAGCAATAAAACGAATTGCAACCAAGGAAGTGCAAAAGAGTAAAGCATTTCAACAAAAACAAAAAATGGAGCATTTAAAAAATAAAAAGAAAATGAGGCAAAAGGTTAAGAATCAGAATAAATTGAAAAAGAAGGATAGCCGAAATAAACGAAGTGCGTGATTTTTCTTTTTTTTAATTCTAATTTTTAAGAACGTGAAAAATATTTATAAAAAATATTTTTGTAAATAAACTCGAAATCTATAGAAATTATTACACTTTTAACTATACAAAACATTAAAATTTGTAAAAAGAAGGTTAGTTTAAATAAAAAATTATAACGATTAAACATGTTTTGATCTTGTAGAAAAAAATTATTTATTATAAGAAAATATTTTCTTTTTTTTACAAGTTAATAACAATTTTTTTTTACAATTAATACATTGTTTATTTTAATATTAAGAATGGAAAATATTTTTTTTCAATAAATTAAAAACTTACAGTTTAAGGAATGCTATCGCAACTATTATTAGAAAAAAAAATCCTTTTATATTTTACAAAATTATCTTTAAATTCATTCAGATATTAAGCAAAAACCCCACTCTTTGCATTTAAAATCTTTTATACACTTTGTATCTAAAAATTTATTTAATTCCAACGGAATAAATTTTTTCGACGTTGTTATTTTTTCCACAGATATTCCAAGTTGTCCAAATTTATTCGAACCACAGCCCCAAAAAGATCCATCTGCTAATGAACAAATAGTAAAGTTATTTCCACACTGAACGCGTTTTACACCCGTTTCAAAATTGTTTCCTTCTTCATTTTCAAAATCAACAACCGTTGGTAAAGCAACAACTTGTTTATCGGAATTTAAATGACCCAATTCGCCAAATGTATTCCAACCCCAAGTGTAGAGATCTCCTTCAATTGTAATAACAGCAGAATGCCAGCCAGCAGCTGCAATTTGAGAAACTTTAATTCCTGCCAGGGCTTTAATAATTTTTGGATTATCCGAGTCTTGTAAATCTCCGTGTCCCAACTGACCACGTGTTCCCAATCCCATTGAATAAATATCTCCATTTTCTGCCAATAAAATTGTATGATCAAATCCACAAGCCATGTCGATAAATTTAACTCTTTCCTCCATTTCAACAGCAATAGGAATATTGAAAACACGACCAATATTTGTGAGCGCAATCACAGATCTTTCCCCATCGATTTTCACAATATACTCATTTTCAATATTCTCGGAAATTGAAATGAATTTGTTGATTTTTTTCCACATTTTATTGTACGGATTGAATTGCCATAAATTATTTTCTGTTGTCAGAATTGTTACATTTTCTTTACCGGCTAATGCATATTTTATTCTTCTACATGCTGTTTCGGGTATTATTAACTTCACTGGATTTTCCTCTTGTTTGACATCTAATATTCCAGAGATAAATAAATCTTCATTTTGCCAGAGTAAAATATAATTCCAGCCAATTTCCATATTGGTAATTTCAGGAAATGGTACTCTTGTTACCTTATCCAGATACACAATTGTTCCTGACTCGTTAGAAAATAAACTACTGGCATTTAGACCGCTATAATATATTTTCATTTTTCCTGCTAGTTTAATTAATTGAAAAATATTTTCCTTTTAAGTTTGCTTTTTAATCGTTTTTGTGAGTTTAATATCTAACCTCAAAGTATATGTCAGAGGTGTCAGACTTCTGAAATTGAACACTTTTGCGTCTGAAGTTTGTAGTAGTTCACGAACTTCTCGCCTGTAGCGTGTGTATCGGTGATATTTCATTTGACATAAAAATCATTAGATATAAAATTCATTTTACATAAATTTCATTAGACATAGCATTTATGTAGCTTAAATATGTCATTTGACTAAATTAATTTGACATTAGTTTCAATTGACATAATATTTTATTTAACATTTAAAAATCACTTTGCACAAGTTTCTTTTGACATAAAATTCATTTTACATAAATAATATTTCATATAAAAATTCATTTGACATTAGTTTCAATTGACAATACTCAGTTTATTACAATAATTTCCATTTGACATAAATTGTATTTAACATAAAAAACATTTGTCATGAATTTTGTTTGGCATAAAATTCATTTTACATAAATTTTGTTTGGCATAAAATCCATTTGACATAAATTTTATTTTACAAAAATTTCATTTGACATAAGTTTCACTTGACATAAATTTCATTTGACATTTTTTTTCAGGGTGAATTTTAAAAGTTACCAATCAGATATTATTAAAAAAATTATGATTGGTAAATTTTTAAATTCGCACCTATATATTATTATGTCAAATATTCTTTATGTCAATGAATTTAATGTCAAATTAAATTTTTGAAAAATAAAATTTATGTCAAATGAATTTTAGGTCAAATGAAATTTATGACAAATATCAATTTATCTCAAACGAGTTCTATGTAAAATGAAATATTATGCAAAATGAAATTTTTATTAGGTGATTTTTATCTCAAATCGGAATTATGTTAAATGAGTTTTATACAAAATTAAATTTATGTCAAATAAAATTTATGTGCAATGAAATTTATGTTAAATGTAATTATTCTTAAAAATTTTATTAAAACTTATTAAGATAATTTAATTATTTAAAAATTTGTTTATAAAATTCTTTATGAGAATTCAATTTTAAGAAACATTCAATTATTCAATAAATTATATTTTTTATTTAAGTAATTGAATTCTCGTAGAACTTTCTAAAAAGAATTTATTTATAAATGAATTTCAGTTAAAATTTTAGATAATAATTGAATATTAAAAGGATTATAACGTGAATTTTTAGAAATAATTGAATTTTGAAAAAATTTCAAATTAAAATCTTTGAAAATTTGAATTTTTCATACTTTTAACTTCAAATAATTTTAAAAAAAATAAAGATTAAAACAACTTTTCAGAAAGGAGTAGGTTCAATAAAATCAATTCGTTTTTTTAAAGGAATATATATTTAATGAATATATATTCGTTAATATACTTAATATACATATTTACAACTTAACAGACATTGATTATAAGAATAGAGATAATTATTACACGACACGAAGACACATTTGTTTGTTTGTTTTTCATTCTTTCGCAATTACAGCGATTTTTAGACAGAAAAATAAAATATATATTTTATATTTTTTTCTCACATGCATTCCTCTTTGCATGTCTCTCGCAGTGCTTATAATATTAATAATAATAATAATAATTATAATAATAATAATAATAATAATAATAGAATTTTAAACATCTTTATAATTAACGTAATTGGAATAAAAATCTATACATTCATTGTTGTTGTCACTGTTGTTATACAGTGTGACTAGCATTATGTTAAAATACATCTATATTCGATATATAGGTTATATTATGCGCAGGTTCATTAATTTTTTTTTTGGGCTCCAAATTTATTTTACAACAATGGTCCCTGTAAATTTTGCAGGTAACTTGAATTAACTTGTGGTAATTAAAAATTCGAACACATTAAAGAGCCGATTACGTTATTTTTTTGTGATTATTATTTATAATAATTCAGGTAACTGCATAGACATCAATTTTTCGTCACTCGATGTCTATAACTCGTTATATTTTCATCCCTTTAACATCAAACATTAAAAAGGGTTGAACGAGTTTTAACATAATTTATTTCTTTTTTTTACATTCATACATTCTTTTTCTAAAAAAAAACTATTAATTATTCCCTTTTTTCTGAAATAACAGTATAAACTCATGTAATTAACTTGCATACTCGAATTTTTATTTTTCAAATTTTTCTCATTTTACAATTTATATATTTTATTATATGAAATACACAGAATGTTTAAGCGTTTTCTTTCTCACGTAAAATACTATAATTATACATTAATGTTTTTCTTTTTAGAGAACAACAATAATTAGATAAGTCTCTATAACTTTTTCATATTTCTTCTATTCATGCATTATTTTTGTATTTTTTTTTCTTGTTTTCTTATAAAAAGAAACGTTCTTAATACTAAAACGAATTACTTTTTTCTATAATAAAAATTAGCTTTGGTCCGAAAGTAAAGTATAAAAGTCATTAGATTTTTTTTATAAAATCATAATTTCTTAATTAACAATTTTTTTTTGCTTTCTATACGAAGCAATAAAATGTCTGATGGTTATTTAAAATAACCCTCCTTTTGTCATATACTGCTCAAGAATTAGGTATTATTATTATTGCTTTTGTCGTTCAAAAAAAAAAAAAAAAAAAAAAATTGAGAAGGTTTGGAATGAAAGCAATAATTTTTTTCTTGTTTGTCAGGCCCATCTGTTGTAGAAACGAATTCATTTTCGTTTCTTTACTCCATTTGTAAAAATGCCCATGTACTTCTTCGCTTTAGACGCAAGATTGTTATCTTGATTTCTCTTGTGCTTTTTCATCATTTTAGATTGAAGTTGTTTGTATGCTTCCGTGCAACAATAAATGTTGCACGGAATCCCTGTCTCAAACTTTGCTCTCTGGACCATCTGTCGTATGTTTGAAGGAATTGCGAATTTTACTTAGATGAAGAGCTGTTATATGTCCGTAGGTTTTGTTGTACCATTCAGGAGTTCTTCCTCTGTAAAATTTAAATATTAAAATTAGTTAAAAGTCGTTTTAGTCCTAGCCTTCTTAGACTATAGTTTACTTGTCTCTTAGAATTGTTAAGTTATTTTTGTCATTTAGTACTTTTAGATTTTATTAATTTTAGAAATAGGTTTCAATAAGAAATTAAGTATTCGAATAAAAAAGATTAAATATTAAGTGGGTATCAAAGTTGATGCGATTTTTCCATTGAAGTTCAGTGTAAAGTTCGCATCGACTTTGACGTCCCCTTAAAAATTAAAGATTAGAGATTAAATAATGAAGATTAAAGATTTAAATTGAATTCATTTGGTTTTTATTTTTATTGCTGCAAAATGAGCGAAAAACTAGAATTCTTTAGAGTAGGAAACAAAATTAAAATGAGGTTCTTTAAAATAAATGTGAACGTACTTTGTATCAACTCTTGACAGATGCATAATACGAGATTTTCCACTTCCGCAAGGTTCGATTAAATATCGAGATGCTAAAACAATGCCTCGTGTTCCACCAAAAGTGACTGGAGCATTTGGATGCTCGACAGATGTTTCAACAATTACACAAGCTCCTTTGGGCAAATCATTTCGCCACGATCTGTAAAAGAGATTTTTTTTTAGTTTTCGTTGAGCATATTTTTTTCTAATTAGAAGAATTGAAAATCTCTAAAGTATTTACCTCAGAACACAATAGTCCCTGATCGGTAATGGAGGACTCATGTTTCCAGTGACATACTGAAATATCTCGACATTCGTGTCCAATTTACTGATTAGCTGATATTTAATTAATTGATGATCCCAGATGTCCCTTTCTCTTAAAACTCGATTCAAGAGTTCATTGGGTGGTGCTTCAACGTCGGTCGAAACTCGCCAAAGACGAAGCGGATGTCCGTCTCCGACCTTTTTGTATGCCACTTCCACACTGGAATCCGCTGGATTGTTAACCGTCACCCATCCTCGGCTTCTACAACAAAAGATTTGAATTACATTTTGTTAGGTTTTTCCATCTTTTCTTGAAAACTCTTTTTGTTGAGTGAAAAAAACTTACTTTTCTCGAGCCTCTTTCAATAAAGCGGTTATGCAGGCATTTAAATAGCCCCTCCAATCTTGCTTCAATTCTGATCCAAGTTCATCCAAACCCACGGGGATACTCTCCTCCATGTAGTTAAAGTGGCATTGAGTCAACATATCTGACGAGACCTTAAAAGAAAATAAGAGACGATTAATAGACTGATCAAAACAACAAGTAGATTAAATAAACTTATTTAAATTTGTTTTCAATTAGGATAAATAAATTTTTCTTACCATAAATAGTTCGCGATGACTTTTAACGAGATATAAGAGGCAATCGTGCGCTGCTTTATTTTCCGATAGTTCTCTTTGATCTGGAGTCCCGACAGTTTTTCTTCTTCTTGGCGAGACGCTATTTGACCTGTTTGTCACATTTGCGTTATGATTGAAGTGGAATAAACTCGGCGCTAGGCATACCGACAAATTGGAAGCGGTCATTTGATTGTAGGGCGAATTACTCGCGACAATATTGAGAAAATCGAGAAGAAATTCCAATGCCTCGCGATGCTCGTCTGGTAGTAGAAGTAGGACACATTGAACGGCATCGGGACGCAGATCCACTGGAACGTCTGTAAGAAACATTTTCAACCTCTTAATCATTTTCTAAAGTGTTTTTTAAATGAATGAATTAAACTGAATTTTATCGAATTTTTACTCACGTTGGAAAATAGCGATGAATGTCTCAGAAAGTTTGTTAGTCAGAAGAGCTTCCGGCAATTCTCGAAAATATTGTTTAACAAGATCGGCAACGTCGTAAGCCTGTTGTCCATCAAAATTGATATTGTCACCCTGTGTCTCCGTCATGACCTTTAGTTTTTGAATTCTAGACCTCACGCCACTCTTTCGAAACAGACCAACCTGATCGAGAGCGTTCGTTTTCAGCCACTTTAGAGCAATTTGTATACACTTCGGCAGAGCTTGACCCGTTCTCTGTAGTGACAACAGCAACGGAACACCAAAGACAGTCTTGTCCTTATAATCAGGTGACTTTATCTTTCTGATGAATTTCGGTAATTCCCAATTCCAACCTGTACGATGAGTGGGACAATATCGTTCCATACATGCGGTTAATTTCAAAAGAGCCAATTTCCTCAGTACCAAGAGTTGACCACAAGACATTGAAGCCATCGCACGACGACAAAGTGGATCCAAAGTTTCTGGATTAAGAGAACCTCGTTGAAAGCTGTGCCACCTGACAACCGTACTCTTGTGCTTCGGCGAATCCTCCTCTTGATCCGAATCCTTACTGGCTGCTGTCGAACTGCTCTCTTGACTTCCCGCCAAATCGGAATTTTTACTCCTCGATTTTTCACGATAGACTGTAATCTCCTTGGATGGTGATCTATCATCCCGGTAAATATCCTCACGACCGTGTCTAAAGCTCTTGTGAAATTTATCCTCGCGCTTTAGTGATGATACTTTTTCTGACGAATCCCTGAATTTTGATTCTTTACTCGAGTGCAAACTACCACCGCGATTGATAACAGTCGCCGATCTTGTTGGCGATTCCTTTGGACTCTGTGAGACGCATTCTAGAACCTTTGTGTTATTACTGTTAGCATCCTTAAAGTACCTTTGTCTCCAGCTCGTTGGCTGACATTCGGAATCACTTAAAGCACCCTGATCTTCTCGGCCACGATTAAGAAATTTACGGGCACGATTCATTTTCGTGCGGGTTGGTGTAGGGGTTGGTCCGCCACCTTGCGAGCCATCGGAACAATAACTCGAGGAATCGTCGCCGAATAAACTTGGTGCATTTGCCATTGGAGATGGTGGTAAATGATTGGGTGATGCTGGCAAGGTGAGTGGCGATGCTGGTAAATGAAAAGGCGACGATGGCAGTAGAAGATCATTGAATGAGAGTGGCGCCGAACCTGTTGGTGAGACATCGACACAATTAAGATCCTTCATTTTTTGTTGCATCGATATAACATCGAGTACTTGGGGTCCACTAATGACGACACCATCGCGATTTTGTCGTTTTCTTCGGCGCGACTTTAATGACTCGACACGTCGTAAAAATGCTTTTGCACCGTCACGAAGTCTTTCGGAACCGGTGCGCCGGAAACGTTGGCCAAGCTCGTCGGGTGATGTGCCTGGGGGAAGACTCGAATATCGGAAATTGTCTATTTGATCATCAGCCTCTTCGGCTTCAAGACGTTCCTCAATTGATTCCTCCTCGGATGGTATATTCTGACTTGCGATTGTTTGCAATTTCTCGAGATTTGTTTGTGTCACGTCACACACACGTGACCATCTTCTTGTTTTCTTCTCGAACATCCAATTCTCGCTTAATGCGCACTGTGTTTCTTCATCGGAATCGTCGCCTCCTCCTCCTCCTCCTCCTCCCTGAAAAATTAAAACATTCTGGTTAGAAATTTATTTTTTTAGGTGTAAAACAGACATTTTAATTTTTAATCGAAATGATGGACAAACTATTCTCTTGTAATTTAGGGTCAAAATAAAAGTAGTATTCGATTTGGTTTTGGGAGTGAAACTGTGTCCCATTAAGTAGTTTTCGTTTTTTGCATTTGAGACAAGAGTTGATACGAATGTAACTTTCGATTTGGTATCGAAACAAAAATTAACTTCATGTTCTCGTGGAATAAGATCCACTTTTATTGTTGTAATTAAAAATAAATGTTTTGATTCAGATGTTTTAATCAAAAGTCGACTTTAGATTCTTCTGTTGTGATCAAAACATAAACAGAATTTATGATTCAAATATCTGAATCAATATTAGATTTTGTTAGTTGTATCAAGACACAAACAGAAAGTACTTTTTGATTCAGATATTTGAATCGAATCTAAAGTTGATTTTTGATTTTGGTATTTGGAATCATTACTAAACAAAACAGACTTTTGATTCTGTTATTGAAATCAAAACTAAAAATAATTGAGTTTTGATTCTTTTGTAATGAAAATACAAATAGAATACTCTTTTTGATTTTGATATTTGAATCAAAACAAAACAAAATCGTCTTCTGTTTTCGTTGTTGGAATCAAAACTAAATAAAATTGATTTTGTTTCTAATGTTGAAATCGAAACAAAAACAGATTTCCAAACAGATTCGAATGTCGGAATCAAAACAAAAAAATGTTTACTTTTCCTACGGACAATCCTACCAGACACATAACAAGTGTTTCTGTTTTTCGTTTTACCGTATCGGTCCCTGGTTTTAATGTGACGAAACTGAAACTAAGAATAGCAAGAATGGTCCGGAAGATCTTAAAAAAAATGTTTTCATCTTAAAAAGAGATTTTTTTTCACAAATGTGTAAACCTGTGTTTGACCTCCATTCATCAGCCATGTGGGTCCTGACTTTCTAAGTCCAAGTTCGTTACGAAACTTGACGCCTTTTGTTACAGGGGAAATGAATGCATACAGTCTGCGACCCATATGACCTGACCCCAACAAGCGACAATGGATCTGGTTTCACTATTAAGAGTGCCACGCCTGGGATCTTTCCTGGGTCCAGAGAATCGTGCCTTTTTACGTTTGTAGGTTTATGACTACGAAACACGTTGGCTATAAATAATAAATGTGACGTTTTTTTTCCTCTCTCTTTCTACCCGAAACAACCACTTGACATCTGTGCGGTGGGTACAACACACTATGTATCGCTTGATTACGAGTCACGGGGGGAAAATCGCGAAAAAGTGGGACAGTTAAATATAATATTCTCTCTGCAAGTGATTGGGAAGTGTGCGCGCGGGAACAAAAAGGAAAGATAAAGAAGTGTGAGAGATGATGGCATTGCCGCTCTCTCGAGACAAATCTGAAACATCAAAAATATCATCTTTGCCCACGCTTCTTGAAATAGATTTTTGAAATTAGGTGCACTTTTGCTATTACCTAATCCCACTGTCATGACCCCCACTCCCTCCCCTTACAACACCACACCCCCTCAAAAAGTGTGTATAAAGATTTTCGACATTTCTCAGTAACTTAAATTGAGAGCATTACTTAAAAGTCTTCTTTTGCATCCTGAATATGCGAATCTGGGTCCACGAATAAAAAAATGAAGAAAAAACGAATTTATCTATTTAACTTTCCAAACCCCCCCCCCCTCTTCTTAACTCATCGTTTCTCAACGAAATTTATCTTTCACGTGAAAAAAAAGTATAAATTTTCGACAGAAATAAAATGTGAAAATTTTCTCGAAATCAGAAATTCGCAAGAAAATTTTTTTTATTTTTAGTGTTTGAAAATCTGTTATATTTATATCAATTTTTTTGTTTTTCATTTCTGAGTACTGATTCAAGTTAGTAATATTACTTACTGTATTATTAAGAAATTTAAATAATTTTTACCTTAAATTTACTTTAGAAAAATTAGTAAAAATTGATAGAAATGCGTGAAAATTCCAATATTTGAAACAAAGATTGTTAAATTTTTTAACTTTTGGATGTAAGAATAATATGAAAAATAGTCAATTAGATTTTTACTTGTTTTCATTATGAATTTATCTTTAAAAATGCTGAACGGTTCCGGAAAATTTAATTGATTACGTCAAGTTTATACTTGAATCGTTAAAAATATTCTAATGAAATTAATGAGAATTTATAAAACTATTCTGAAAATTTTTATTGGTTTTTCTAAGTTTTCATGAATTGTTCAGAATATTTCAATAGTTACTGAAAATTTTTAGAACTTTTGAAAAATTTAGTTAATTACTTTTGAATTTTTCAGTTTCCGAATTTATTGTAAATATTTCAATACAATCAATAGAAATTTGTAGAACTTTCCGAAAATTTAAACATTATTGAAAATATTTCAATAGTCAACAAATATATATTCGTGAAAATTCTGGAAAATTTAGTTATTTTTGAATTTTCAGAATTATTGAGCACATTTTAGTAAAATCAATAGGCATTTTGTAAAACTGTTCCGAAAAATTTATATTGATTATTTTTAGAGTTTCCGAAATAATATTCTTAAAAAAATTTTAGAATTGTTCCGGAAAATGGAATTTAATTTTTTAAAGTTTCTGGAATTATTCAGAATATTTCAGTAGTCAATGAAAATTTGTAAAACTTTAGGAACATTTTGTTTAATTAGTTGATTAGTTTGGCTTAACTTTAGTTTCTAAATTCAGCTTATTTTAATGGACTTAATAAAAATTTAGAGAATTTTTCTGGAAAATTGATTTGATATCTTTTAATTTACGGATCCGTACAGAATACTGACAGAGAAGAAATTCAATTAATATTTTTTAGAATCTTTTATGGAATTATTCAGCATATTTTAATTAAGTCAGTAAAAAATTGTAAAAACTTTCAATATGAAAACGATTGAAAATTAAAAAATTTTTTTTCTCTCGTTATGTATTCTCTGATGAGTGTTTTCTCCTGTTGATTATAACATAGATAATAAAATAAAAAGTATCTTTTGTAATTTTTCCTTTTCTTGATAAAAAAACAGTTTGTGCAATAAAAATGGTATTATACTAATGGATATATTTCGAATCTATATATTAGATCATAAAATAATAATGAGATTACAAAATAGATGAAAAAAGAGATGTATGTTATCTGATATTTAAAAAGATCCGGCAAAATGTCATAATGTTGAGGTTATTTTTTAATTTCTTTTTTCTCTCAATAATACATTATTCAGAGAATGATGACCGCACGTTATGTGGCATTTCATCAAGGAAATTCATGGTTTAAATTTTAAAACTCTGATCTCATAGTATATTTCGTAACTGTATGACATTTTCGAAGCCGCGGAAGTAGCTTCTTATATTAGAAAGTAACATTAAGAATGTCCTGAATCAAAGGGGGCAGTACTTCAGTGGCAATAGTCACTTTGCCATCTTAGGAACTAATCTCAAACTCACTGATCCTGTGATTTAGAGTCACTGTCACGACTCGACAATAATCTCCATTATCTTTTACCGAATTTTTCAGAGACGAACTTTAGAAGTCTTCTTTATACATGAATAATAAGAAATTTGAATAAAGAAATTTCGATTTATATTTTATATAAAATATCAACTAGGAAATTTGCTCACATCTTTTTTTAGTGTGAAAAGATATTTTTTTCAAGAGTCATCTCTGTATATTTATTATTAGCATCAATAATGGATTGAAATCAAAGTCTTTTTTTCGTTCGGGAAAATTGTTTTGATAAAAAGAAACTGATTTCTTGAAATTTTGAGGACAATATCATATTTGTATTTTATTTTTAACACTTCTTTTGATGTTTAAAAATGAAATGATGAAAATAGATGCATTTAAAAATGAAATCAATTTTCATTTTTAATGGACATTTTGGTTCATTTTACCTGACAATTATTATTGAGTTTTGGCAAGTTAAAAATTTTTTTTTATCTACATTTCCGTTTTGTAGTGTGTTTGTTTGTGTGTGTGTGTGTGTTTGATATTTCTCATGCGCCCATGGAGTTATTTTGAAACTTCGATGTTCAACGAGCCATGTCACCCGCAACTTTTCATACCTACCGCGTTCGTCATTTCCGTCAGCACACGTTAAGCAAACTATACCATTTTACAATAATTATAAAACAACCATATATTTCGGAGAAAAGTGTGACACTGCTCTAAAATTATATGCATATATACGAAATGCCATTTACTTCATTCAAAATTTAAATTTATTCAAGTTATTTTCGAGATTTTCAATTTAAATTATCAAATTCACAAAGTAAATTTTGTTATTACGTTCATAGTACATATTCAGTTGTTTCTGGAAATAATAGTAAAAATTTCTTTTTGGTACTTTTACACAGATCTACGAATGTAAACTTTTAGGTACAATTTCCAGAGTAAATTTTATTTCCTCTAAAAATTTTTTTACTAATTTTACTAAAAAATTTACATGGGAGAATATAAAATTTACTCCGCAAATAGTGAAATTAATTATACTTATTTTTACTCTTTCGAAAGTAAAATTTAATTTGCCTGAAATATCAGACAAATTTGACTGTTTTTGGAGTAAATTTGACTGGGTTCAAAAAAAATTTATTAACATTTACTTAAAAAATAGTAAACTTTACTATTAATTTTTATGAACTTACACTATTTTGATAGTGAATCATGAACTTTTGTTCATTTCTGCCATTGTTTCTTATTTCAGGAGTAAATTTAACTATGTTTAAAATCAATTTTACTAATTTTCTTGAAATTTACTTAATAAAATGTAAAATTTACTCTAGAATAGTAAAATTTACTATTTTATTTTTACAAACTTTAATAATTTTTATGGCGAAATCAAAATTGACTGAATTTTTTCCCATTTCTGTTATTTTTACTTTCTTCGGGAAGAATTTTATTCTGATTTTACTAAAATTTGATATAGAAAAAATGTAAAATTTACTCTGGAAATA